ATTATATTATTTCATATATTTTTATTTTTATTTTTGTTGTGCTCGATTTGATATTAGTCTCATTTTTTTTAGAACTTGAGCGTGGCTTGGGGATTGGCCTTGAAAGGAGCCAATGCTTCACGCAGAATGGACGAGCTCGAGGATGAGGTCGAGTAAAGCAGAATAAAATTTGTGAGCTCGAAGTGGAGCGCGACTTGGCTAGGATTGAGACCCAGAAAGCTCGGGATCAAGTGGGTACTGCGAAGGACGAGGTGGAAGAGGCGGAACTTGAGCTCATTCATGCTAAGAAGGGGTTCGAGGATCAGCTAGTAGAGGCTAGAGCTCACACAGTGGAGCGGTTTAGAAAATCTAAAGAGTTCGGGACGTTGATTGGACAGTACGGTTCGGGCTCTTATCACTACGCATGAGACTTGCTCGTTCGTATTTGCAGATCAAACTTTCTAAAGACTTGAAGCCCATCATCGAGGAGCTCAAGTCGGTGAACGAGGTTGCAAACGAGCTCGAGCTTTCGTCATCGAAGGTCGAAGGTGAAGAAGAGGACGGGGAGGAGGCTAAGACACCTAATCAAGGCGACCCTACTAATGCAACATATCTAGATTAGGTTCCATACCCTGAACTTGAGTTTTTAGGTTTTTGAAAAATGTAACAAATACATTACCTGATTTGGGTTCCCTCTTAGTTTGAATATAAGTTCGATATTTTGTCTTTTATTTAATTATGCTCGTTCATTCAATATATGTCGATCTCGAAATTGACCAATGATTAGCTCTAGTTCGAAAAATCTGAGATTGTTCCTTGGCTTGTACTCGAGCTTCAATATTTCAGCTCGCGTCTACTTGTTAATCATTTCTGGCTATAAGTTTGAGCTCATGCAATATTTTGGGTGTGTGAGCTCGAATTTTTGTTTGATAATGTATTACTTGAGCTTTTGTTTAATTTGTAATGTATATGAAGCTCGAACATTTTACTTGACCAGTCTTTTGGTCAATAAGCTCAAGTTCTTTGTTCAATATGTAGCTCGAGCATTTCACTTGACCAATTTTTTGGCCAGAAAGCTCGAGTCTTTTGTTCAATTTGCATGTATGTAGCTCGAGCATTTTTCATGAGCTGTGATATTTTTAAGTTTCAAAACGTGGGGCTCGAGTTTGCTACTTGGTCATTATTCTAGCAAGTAGCTCGGGCCCTTTTTTTAGGTGAACGTCGAGGCTGTTTGCGGATGGTGAGTACCAGCCCGAGCTCGAACTCGGCATAATATGATGTTGAGAAATATTGAGTTCGGGTTACAAAGACTTCGAGCAACAGCGTGCGTGGGCACACCCTTATGCTATATATGTTTATTAGCTGTATGCGTGGAGCACGACCTTACGCTAATTAGATGTAATAGTTGCATACGCGGAGCACGACCTTATGCTAATTTGATATTTGTGTACACATTGAGGTGGTTGATGGGGTCGGTTGTCCCATCGTATTCCTTTACCTGATGATACTTAAATCTGTTCGACAGAGGGTATGACAAGACTTCAGGGGTAAAAGGGGTGTTGGGGCTGAACCTCATTGTCGCCTGAGTATTTTGATCATACCAGCCGCGATCCCATCCTCAATGATCTTAGCAATTTCATTGGAATCCATAGTGACTGATCTCGAGCCTGAGTTCATGCGAGGTACGCCTAATGTTCAGCATCACCCGTACCCGAAACATGAGGAGGAGCTCAGGTTCAAGCGTCTGCCATTAAACCATCATGCGATACTAGTACTGGATGCGGATAAGGTTTAGCAACTTGCTGGCAAAGCTCCTTGAAAGCCCTGATAATAACGACGGCTGGTTGGGATATTGGTATTTTCGATGATTCTTCTTGGGGAGCTAGAGGGTCCTTAGCGGGTGGATGTGGAACAAATGAGCTTGCTAAAGAAAGACCTGAATGTGTATTAACCATGGCTTCTGGTAGCATTTTCCACAGACAGCACCAATGATGATACCAAAAACCTGTACCTGCTTGATCTCGAACGGATGCTTGAACTACACGCGAACATATTTTCAATACCCGAAACAAAAGCGTCAAAGTGTGGCCTCGTCACCCCTTCGATACTTAAGTCAGAGAGAAAATTTATGCGAAAGACGTATGCTGGAAATTGTGTAAAAAAGCGTACCTGAATTATTAACATTGGTCCTATATTTATAAATGTTGATGATGGAGTCCTGAAAAGATTCAACCACCTGTATCCTTATCATGTAATGTGTTTGTATTATACTCAAAGTGTTCTGTTTGAGTTCAAATCAAACTCGTGGTGGGTTGGTAGTTTAGATTAGGATAAAGGTTGTATGAAGTTATTATCGAAGTATGATTATTGTTTCTAATGTGTGTGCGATAAGTTTAAGGGCCTCGTTATTTTGGAATACTACACCCCGACCTCATATCACCGACGTCATCCCTACAGCCCAACCTCAACACTTGGATAGTTTAAAGAAGATAAGTTTGGGCTACGAAGGTCGAGTTCGAGTACCCCCAATATTTGTGCGCATCACATTTATATACTCTCTCTCAACTCCGTCGAAGTTGCAAATCAAGAGAACTCGTGGTTGTGGCATGGTACGACACTATAGTGATGGTCGACATTGTAGGGAGCGAGATGCTTAGGATGACAACTATAAATACGACGGTGGATTTGAGATGGAGGTGCGGTGGTGGTGGGTTAGAGGTAGAAATCATGGTGGATTTGAAGTGGTAGGTGTGGACTAGGTGACAGTGGTTGCTGTGGTGGGTTTGAGGTGCAATGGTGGTGGATTGTGGTGCGTTGGAAGTGGAGGAAAGAGTGGTGGGTTGTGGATCTGAAGTAGCTTTGATGATTTGAGTGGTGTCAAGGGCAATGGCGTAGGGTGATGGTAGTTAATTTGGTAATTTGTGATCCCTTTAAATATGTGATTTGTGACTAAAATATATCATCGTGATCCACAAATTATTTTTATGTGATTGTGACATTGTGTGATTTGTGACTAATATGTGGCCTTTACCATACATTCTGTATTTTTGTAAACATGATTGTTTAACTAAATTATGGGAAAATTGCAATAGCGGTCTCTAACATTTCACCTTTTTGCCGATTTTCTCTAACCTTCACTTTTTGCCACTTACAGTTCCAAATATTTCAAAATATGCACTTGTAGTTCAAATGGATGGAAACATTTGACTGTTAGTTGACCAAAAAAGTTAAAGTTTAATCAATTTTGATCAAATTAAAAAGGGTAAAATGATATATTTACATTTTTCCAAATATTAACAATTAGAACAATTAAACTAAAAAATAAAATAAAAAATCTACCCTACCCTACCCACCCTACACCACACCCTGCCATCTTCATCATCATCTTCTTCTCCTTGCTAACGAAAACTACGAAGTCCTCATTCTCTTATTTTTCCCAAGTCTACTGCATCTTCTCCTCCGTACGTGCTTGCCCACCCCATATTTATCTTCTTCTCCAAACTATTATGCAGAAACTCATTGTTTATCTCCTCCACCAACCCAACCCACATTTGTCCTCTTCGTTACATTCCGCAAGAGAACACCTAGCTCCCTGATGAAAACCCACAAGTACTCGCCTTCAGTTCTTCAAATGCTCAGTTTTATTTGAACGTGAAAGTTGGGGTCAGATTTGGGGTTCATGTTCCTGTTCGATGTGGAACCATAATACAGCCCGCAAGTACATATTTTCTTGAATTATTTGATTATGTGTTGTTAATCCAATTTCCCGATAAAAAATTGATTTCATTCTTACTGAAATTTTATTGGAAATGGGTCTAATGCTGCATTTTACTGGAAATGGGTCAAAAATTGATTTTGTTTCTTGTGTGGTGGGATTGACAATGGTCGTGTCAATGGTTTGTAATGGGATTGACGTGGTGGTACCGGCGATTTGTTGCGGGATTGACGTGCTAGCAGTATGTGTTTGAGGTTGCGACGTTAGGTGGTGTCGGTGTTGGGACGGTGGAGTCGACTATGACGATTTTCAGGGGAGGGGATAATGGTAGCCCTTTTATCTTTTTCTTTGTTTTTTTTTTTCAATTTTTTTTATATTAAAATTGCAAAGTTACCATTTTATCCTTATTACATTTGATAAAGTTTTACTATTGTGGTCAACTAACCATCCATTTGGACCCTATTTTTGAAAGGTTTGAGATTGTGGGTGGCACAAAGTGAAGATTAGGGTAAAATGTACAAAAAGTGAAAAGTTAGGAATTGCTGCTGTAATTTTCCCTTAAATTATAGATGACAACGTGACCACCTGTTTTTTGAAAAAAATCAAAAAATTTCTTATTTTTGAAAATGTATTTTAAAACTTTTGTAGTTATGTATTATTTCCTATTTAATGCATGTTTGACACACATTAATTTATTTTATGGTTTATTACATGATCATTTTCAACCACACATTCACACAATAAAATATTCTACACGTATACCAAATTTTTTTCCTACTTTTAATCACACATTCTACTAAAAATACTATTCGAAACTCATTTTTTTTTTTTTTTTCTATTAATGAGAATGAAATACGCTGTTAATTACTAAGCTACTTTTGCTGTGCTGTGCCCTTACTTTCAAATATAAAAAATGATTCTTTCACAAGACCATTCTCGTCTAGAAGCAAAAGAAGAGTTGGCTCTATAGAATTTTTAAAGTTCACCCAATGATGTAAGAGCCTGCTTGAGAATTTTTTCCATTATACTTCAAAAATTTCCATAACGGGTGCGGGCCCTAGATGAGCAGTGTGTGACAATTCAGGGCGGCTAATTGTGACTTGTCAAGTCAACAACTTTAAAAATATAGAAGAATCGTTAATGGGGTCCACTAATAGATCACGTTATTTTGAACGACGATCAAATTTCGACTTCCATTTTGCAATAATGGTAGACGTGTCCAGATTAAGTCAGGTAACATTTCACTTTAAATAAGACACCTTACTCCCATTTCTGCTCCGAAGATTGAAAGAAAAAATCTTGAAAAATGGCTGAAAAAAGCAAGATTTTGATCATTGGAGGAACTGGTTATATAGGAAAATTCATAGTTGAAGCAAGTGCAAAATCTGGGCATCCCACCTTTGCTTTGTTTAGAGAGAGCACAATTTCGGATACTGTTAAAGGAAAACTCGTTGCGGGATTCAAAAACTCTGGTGTAACCATATTAATTGTATGTATATATTCATTCTTCTGCATCTATACTTTGATCTTTCAGTATGTTTGTTTTTATCACGAGTGTATTGTGAAAAATACAGGGAGATTTATATGATCATGAGAGCTTGGTGAAGGCTATAAAGAAAGTGGATGTGGTTATATCTGCAGTGGGACACTATCAGTTGGCTGATCAAGTGAAGATCATTGATGCAATTAAACAAGCTGGAAATGTTCAGGTTGGTATGCACCCCGTGATTTCAATGTTGTCCATTTCATCTGAACGTTTAAGCCGATATAGAGGTCTTGTGCATGCCTCCTAGTGATATTATTTTTTCCTGCACTGCCAGAGATTCTTCCCTTCAGAGTTTGGAAATGATGTGGATCGCGCTCGTGCAGTCGAGCCAGTGAGGTCGAGTAATTTTGCGGTTAAAGCCAAAATCCGAAGAGCTGTAGAGAGAGAGAGAATTCCTCACACCTTTGTTTCATCGAATTCATTTGCTGGTTATGCACTTGCAACCCTGTCTCAGCTTTCAACCACTTCTCCACCTAGAGATAAAGTTACTATTGTAGGAGATGGCAATACCAAAGGTATGTATCAATTCTCTATGCACCATTCAATGAATTCGTACAATAAATATATATTGTCATGGGCGGACTTAGGGGGTCCTGGGGGCAAGTACCCCCAACTTTTGAGAATTTTTTTTTTTTTTTTTTTAAGTGTTTGGTATTGATTGAAACCTAAATCTAAATATAAATTTAAACCTAAAACAACAATTAATTTTAGTAATATATTTCATATATATATATATGCATATTGTCATGGGCGGACCTAGAGGGTAAGGGGGACAAGTACCCCCAACTTTTGAGATTTTTTTTATAAGTGTTTGGTATTGTTTGAAATCTAAATCTTAATCTAAATAAAAGTCAACAATTAATTTTAATAATATATTTCATGAAATATATAACTGTTTAACTTTTATCAAAATTTACTAAAAATTTGATTTTAATCTCCACCAAATAGGGGCTAAATCACAATAAATTTGAATTTTGATAACATGCTAATTTTAAAAATTCTCCGTGTTATCTCAAAACTTATTTCGATGACTACATTATGAGCATATCGAATAGTCCAAACAAATATCGAAAATAGTTAAAAATACATTAAATGTGAGTCTTAAAAAAATAGTCTAACTCCCATTTTTACATCCAAAAAAGTCATATCCCATTTAAATTTTCGGATGTAAAATTACATGGGGTATGATTTTTTTGGACGTAAATTTTAGATTGTAAAACTTCTCATTCTTTACAAGTTAAATTGTGCCCCCCTAACTTTTAAGGTTTGCGTCCGCTCCTGTATATTGTAATATCCAAGGAAGAATGTGACGCTCTTTTACTTTGCTTCGACTCTAAATTTATGGGTTTACAACATTGTCTTAAATTGTAGGCGTCTTCAATGACGAACATGACATTGGCACCTATACCATCCAATCTGTGGATGATCCGAGAACACTGAACAAGATCCTCTACATCAAGCCTCCTAAAAATGTGTATTCGTTCAACGAGCTAGTAGCTTTATGGGAGAAGAAGATCGGAAAAAATCTCGAGAAAGTCCATGTTCAAGAGGAGGAACTTCTGAAACAGATCCAAGGTAATTAATTCTTCAGATTTTTGCTTCACAATACCTTGTGAAATTAATGGACTTCGTTGTCGATTTTTTATTTTAATTGGATAAATCATTAACAAGTAATAAAGTAGTGAGTATAATATCATCCTACGAGGATTGTTTATTGAATCTTATTGTCTCATTCATGATGCAGAATCTCCATCACCAATCAATTTCTTACAGGCAATCAACCACTCAATTTTCATAAAGGGTGATCAAACCTATTTTGAGATTGAGCCATCATTTGGAGTTGAGGCATCCGAGCTCTATCCAGATGTCGAATACACTACCGTAGAGGAGTATCTCGATCAGTTCGTTTGAGCTGGGGACCTTCATGAAAGAGAAGCGATGTCGTAATTGGGGGTTTGAAACTCTTTAGTAATGTAATCATTATGTCAATAAATTGCAGCCAAATAAAGGTCTTTTTGAAAAATGTCCTTTGATTCAACCATGTAAAATTAACGATAGACAATAAAACCTCTATAACACGAGAAATTTGGCAATGGAGGAAAAATACCAGAATATAGATCCAGCCGAGAGGGCATCAAATCAAAGATTACAAAAAGTAACTAAAGGAGACTGCGGTGCCTAAGGCAACAGAAAAAAATATTGTCATTTTAATTAAAATGAGAAACGTGCGCAGATAAAATTACAGACATCATGTTCATCTCATAGCAAGGACAACAAAAAATAAAAATTGAACATGTAATACTGGACCAATATCAGAAGTCCCTCTATCAAAACTTAATTTTGTAATTTTTTTTTAATAGGTAGTTCCAACGGTACTAGATAAAATCGCAAGATATGGATACTTAAAAACAACATTTACGGAAATTCCAGGGGTTTGGGGAGATCACATATGGCGATGTATCCAAATAATCGACCTGAGCAAGAAGAGTTCCTTCTGAAGTAGCAGCTTGCATGTTCAGTCATGGTTATAATCATTTCGCTGCTTTACATCTACATGTTTGTCAGGGGGACTACTAGCCTTTCTCTTTCTATTGTTCGACCTTGGTGATCGATATTCCTGATCGGCATCATCAAATAGTTCCACTTCCCCTTCTTCTACGGAGTCAAATTTTTCCACATGAGACGACTTTCCTTTCGTTGCTTGGTAATTAAAATCTCCATCTTCGCCTGGATATGTCGCATGATGTGAGTTCTCGTGCTCTGGCCTATTTGAAGACTTGAACCAGATTTGTTTTCTGTCATGCTTAATCTTCTCATTCTGACCAGGCAACTCAACATCTTCCAGTTCTCTTTCGAGTTCATCCATAGGATCCATTTTACGAGTTATGTCTCCACGGGCCTTCCTCCGTTCAAGGGCTGCTTTAACCTTCTCTCTGTCGATCTTTTTTATGGCATCTTGAGGTGACTGGCCAACCATACCATCATTGGGGCCTGGATTTCGGCTATGGTGTTTATCCTTCAGGTCCAACGAATTCCGCCTTTCAGTTCTCCCAACATTTCCTTCATGTTCCTGAACATGTCCATCTGAACCAAACTCTGATTTATTCCGGATCTCCCCCTTATTCCCCTCGTGAGGTAATGCCTCTCGTTCATGTTTATAAGTGTTGTCAATCTCCTCATATCCCTTTCGATCCGGAATGCTATTTATTTCCGCATTCATGTTGGTTCTTCCATAGTCATTACTTCGAGCCTGAGTTGTTCTTGGCTGCCCATTGTGATTATCAGCAAGTGGTTGATCAGGAACTGGCCTTGATGATGTTAAAATTCCTGGCTTTGACGAATTGCTGTGACTAGTAACATGCTCCTCACTTGCAGGAGCTTTTTGCAGAGGTCGACTGCCTCCAGCACTTCCTTCTGCTTCACTAGCCTGAGAAGGTGGCACTCTATTCTGTTCATACAATTCTAACATCTGATTGCTAACCTCTGCAAGGAATAATGCCTCTGGTCAAAATGGGAATATATAGTACTTAATTTTAGAGCATAAATGTACATCATAATTCCTATCAACATCATCATCCTGGACCCTCCCCCTTTTCTCTTTTATCTTTTTAGAATTTCAGTTAAAGATCAAACTCAATTAAAAGCACCATATTTTCATAAATTTGCTTGATTTTACCAAATCACGAAAAATTGATATTGGTGTTATCCAACACCACAAATCTAATATGTACACAGTACACTGCTGCCAAAGGCAGACTAGAAAAACCGACCCTCCAATTGGCGTGGGGTTACGTCAAACTCCTGCCACCAAACCTTCTCACCATCAGATGGGAGCTTTACTTTGAGGAACTTGGCAGCAAGGAAAATAGCACCTGCTGCAATGTGGTGTGGCTTAAATTGCAAGCAGAGAGATGTCCGAAGCCTGCACGCGGCTTTCTCGGGTCAAAAAGAGAAGAGGAAGAATGGCCATGGATGGACTCTATATTAAAACTATAATAAGCAACATATCATACCCATCATTAACAAAATTCCATGCAACTTGAGCTAATGCATTTTGAGCAACCTTAAATTTTTTAATTGCCTCGACAAGGGGTTTATATGGATGGAGTAAATTGAGATCAAAACCAAGAGTTGTAAGAACGACCCTCTCTCCCAGCAAAATTAGTTCTTTTTGTTGTTCATATACCTCCTGCAAAAGGACAGATGTATATCAAATAACTTACGTAGTACAATACCATCGGGAGCAAGCTAAATTATTAGAAATTCAGGAAGAGAATCTATAATAAATAGCATCCCAGATTGCAAGGGAGGTAACAATGTTTTGTATATTAAATACAAAATCCAACAACACATGGATTTGCAATGCATTAGAAATTTTTAGCTATAGGCATCGAGTAAAAAATGAGGCCAAAGTTACATGAAAATAAAAGAATCAAGCTCAAGTATTAGCAGGCCAATAAGCAAGATAAGAAGCAGAACAAAAGTAACATCACCTTTAGCTTGATCCTCTGCACAGCAGCAGGATCCTTCTTATGAATGATTTCATAGGACACTAGTATAACATCTTTCAGAGGACGAGGAGTTTCTTCAACCTTGCCCGCAAGAAACATACATACCGTAGCAATTGTCTGCAAAATCAGACACCAAATTATCAATTGTGTAAACAGAAAAATCATCAGTGTAACTGAGGATATAACAAAGCCACATGGTGGCTATGTTCAATTTTACCCCTTCGGTAAGTCTTAAAACTTCCTATCCAGTAAATAAAGAAGTCATGCCATAGAATGCCCATAGAGCGGACAAAATCATGTACACACAAAGTATCGAAACATAAACACACAAGCACTAGCGTGCTCAAAGAGACGTTCATGGAACCAACCCAAGAAAATCAAAATCATGGGTGCATATATTATGATAATCTTCTATGCTCCAAAGAGTTACATAAAACAGTATAGTGTATTGCCTTCAACATGCGTTCTCAATTCCTTCAAAAGCCTGACATGTATCAATATGCTCGATAATGTAGGCAATATCTTTATTTTACATTCAAAAAAAAAAAAAAAGGCCCATTGCACCTATACAAGGGGAAAAAAATGTCTACATGCACTCGAATAAATTCAACCAGGCTAAGAACAGAGCCATACATGGAAGGGTCCTTAACAAGTCAAGGGATCCAATATCAGATGGCAAACCTCCAGCACAGAAATTTTCCTCAGTTCAAGTGCAAGACACAGAGTACACAGCATGCATTACATTCTCAAGATAAAGATGATAATCCAGAAAGGACGGCGGTTTGCATCCAAAATAGTTTATTTCACAAACTACAGGAAAACATTCTCTAAATAACCTTTGCTTTATTGTTAACTCCTGCATTTTCTCAAGGACCTAATCAGGGTGTGAGTTACTTAAGACCACGACAAACAGGACAATTCTTTTCGTTTTATATTCCAGAACAATCAGAACCCAGTTTACATGAAGTCTAGTTGCTATCCACCAAATTCATAAACACTACGACTTGGAAAACAGATTAAAAGCAATTTCTATGCTAGTAGATTTTAATGATACAAAAATATCCTATAATTCAATTCATTCATTCGAATACAGTCCATTATTATTATTAACAGGCCAATAGTCACCCTCTTTAAATAAATAGCCACATACTATGAGATTGTTTCGCTACAGATAAAATAAATAATGAAGTGAGAAAAGATAAACTCACCCTCCTATCATTTTTTACGTGGGACTGACGAAGAAAGAAACGATGACAAAATATTATTGCTGTAGCGATGGTTACCTGTGGCCTGCATCATAAAGCATTCAAAACTGATATGAGAAATTTTTTTTACAAATTTCATATATTACATTAGAAGGCAAAAAAAAGTGCAGAGGAAAATTACTCAAGGAATGCAGAACTGATGAATTTATTTCTTGCACACATTTTACTAAAGCTTGATGGATAATATGCATATATTGCTGAGCAGAAACCCATAGCCTTTCTCCTCATTGATTGACACAGAAAATTTTGTGAACATCTATGTGCATATAAATAGTATCCAGCAAGAAGAGACTATGGATGTACAATTAACCATTCAACATTTGATACATGTACATAATATCCACCCACCCACATACCCTCCATCTATCAACACCCATGTGTAATAAATACACGTGTCAGTTCGAGTCCCCTCAGGGCCACTGAGGTGAGTATCCAGCCGTAAACTTCAGGGCCAAGTGGAATTAGTCGAAGTGCGCGCAAGCTGGCTCGAACATCCACGGTTATAAAAAAAAAAAAATACACATGTATACACTCATGCATGTATGTGTATATGCACACAATACTTAAAGTCCCTAGAACAAAAGTCCCTTCCACCATGTAGAATAGCAATGTATCCATATACAATGCTAAACAAATAGGAGAAATACAATTTCAAAGATATGGCTAACATTCTAAAGCGTTTAAAGGAAGAAATAGAACTGCTGTTCATCTATTTGATAGGCCAAACAATGCAAATTACACTTGCATCCATGGGAAACATAAAAAGAACACAAGAAACTATCCAAGCAAGAGGACGTACACTTTCAGCCTCATGCCCAAGTCTTGTAGAAACGTACAATATGACTTGCGTAGATAAGCCTCCTTCTTCAAATCAATGCCATCTCGTCTAGAAGGGGAATTTTCTTCAATTTCCTTCCTAGATAAATACCAACGACCACCACCTTCTTCTTGATTGACTTGAGAAGCCGTATAATTTAATTCATGTCCTCCATGATGGGAAGGATCACCAGGAAACAAAGCAGCCATTTGTAGCTCCTTTCTTCCACCAAATTTTTTGAAAGATTGATGAAAAGAGGTCCCTCTAAATTAGAACTGTTCACAAGACATTCATCTGTCCATCAATATACGGTCTGTAAACTTACATATGCAGCATAAAATAAAGCATTGAACCTTCTAACTTGAAATAATATTAGTATCTAAAATTATGAGTCTATAAATGTCTAAAAACAATTCAGTTTGTAAGGCTTATCCATGAACCCGTGTCTAAATTTTGAATCCTTTTTAGCCACGTCCCATAGTTTGGGGAGGCGGGGGAAGGATGATACTCCTAGAAATGTACCTATATCCGACACCAATGCCGAGTCCAAGCAACAAAGAAAATAAGGGAACTTAAAATGAAAAGCTTGAAAATAAATAGGGGAAAGCGTGAAATTATACCCTCATGAGCAAGACACACACACACACACACACACACACATATATATATACTCAAGGTAGGGTTTCAGCATATCTCACACACAGAAATAGAATTATGCAATTATAATGAATATATACAATTACTCAACATACTGCTGACAAATGTAAATAGAAGCGCAATTGCAGAGAAGAAAAATAGCTAAAGCTTCAAAAGAAATCAAGAGATATGTTGAAACTCAATTTAGACAAGAGATTTTAACTGCTTAGCAATCGGGATGGAGGAGAGAGGACTCAATAAAATAACATTTCAGGGGTCAAACAACAGACCAATTGGGAGGCACTCATATGGGTAATACCGACATTTTATAATGGAGAACATGAATTATAAAATCATCTAAGACAACAGAAATTTAGCAAAATTCCTCTACCTGAATAAAAATTTTGTTAAGCGAATTCTAGAATACCCTTTTTTTTGTAAAAGAACCTAATTTCTGATGATATATAAGTTCCTGAGAATATGTTCAAGTAAAAGGAGATTCAACTTTTAAGCAATACTTCATTATGGGTTATAGATACACACAAGTTACGGAAAAAGCACCATACAAACTTCAGTTACTCTCCGAAATTTTAGATTAAACACGCATGAACCAAATGAAAAACATTACAAGAAATCACAGCAAGTAAAAGATAAAAAAAAGCCCAACATACCCAGTTAGACGCATGAACCAAATGAAAAACAATTCAAGAAATCACAGCAAGTAAAAGATAAAAAAAAGCCCAACATACCCAGTTCATTTTTATCCCCTGGAAAAGCAAATTAGCAAATCTCTAAGGAATAAAACTCTCACACTTAGCCAAGAAACTGACAGGCAGACTCTGAAATCGAAACTACTCAGGGCAATGCCGGTTATTGATTCATGCACAATCGAGAAAAACAAAAGCAACACGCCATCTAATCATCAATTGACATAATGCACCATATAAACTTCAATAAGCCCTAAGATTTTAGATTAAAGACACATGAAAAAGCATTATATCACCAATCATTCAACAAATACACCATACAAACTTCAATTAATCCCTGAAATTTTAAATTGTAGACACATGAATCAAGCATCAAACAATTCAAGAAATCACATTAAGTAAAAGATTCAAAAGGGCCCAACATACCCAGTTCAATTTTTGTATAAAAAAAGACCAGATAACTCAATGAGAAAGGACACTTACCCATGCAGCCAAGAAACAACAGACAGGCTCTGATATTGAAACAAGTCAAAGCGAAGCCAGTTTCTTCTTATTTGTAAGGATCAATAATCTCATCAAAGACGACACAAATTTGACAAAAAATTTGTGCCAAGTCAAAATATACATTTGCCAATTACAGAATTCCCAATTTTTCAAAGAGATAACCTTTTGATGGCATGGCATATAAGTTCTTCAAACATATGCCCAACATACCCAGTTCAATTTTTGTATTAAAAAGACCAGATAACTCAATGAGAAAGGACACTTACCCATGCAGCCAAGAAACAACAGACAGGCTCTGATATTGAAACAAGTCAAAGCGATGCCAGTTTCTTCTTATTTGTAAGGATCAATAATCTCATCAAAGACGACACAAATTTGACAAAAATTTTGTGCCAAGTCAAAATATACATTTGCCAATTACAGAATTCCCAATTTTTCAAAGAGATAACCTTTTGATGGCATATAAGTTCTTCAAACATATATAAACAAATTAGATTCAATTTTTAAGCAATACTTTCATATGAGATATAGATACACACACAATCATAAAAACAAAAGCATCCTATCCTCCAATCATTTGACATGCATATTAAACACTAGATTTCATCTTTGAAGCAAGCATAAATCAATTCAAGAAATCACAGACAGTAAAAGATCGAAAAGAGCCCAAAATACCCAGTTCAATTATTCTGCTTACAAACCAAATAATCAAATCTTTCAGAAAACAAACTCACAGAAAGGCTCCGAAATCACGACCACGCAAACCAATGCCAGTTTCTTCTAGTCGCGAGAATTAAGTGACTACTTTTGTCCAATTTATACTTTCATATGGCTCATAGATACACACATAGATACAAGTGCAAATTCCATACAAACTTCAATTATACCCTATTTGTTCATAATACAGACACGCGACCAAGCATAAATCAATTTAAGAAATCACAGAAAGTAAAAAAATAAAAACGAACCCAACAAACCCAGCTCAATTTTTGTACTAAAAAAGAAAACAACCAAATCTTTTTTGACGAAATAATCAAATTCAAAAAATCAAAGTGTAAAAAATAGAGAGAAAAAGAAAACACAAAAACCCCAGTTCAATTTCGAACCGTAAAGAAAATAATCAAATCTTTGACTAAAGAAACTTACGAAGGTAACCAAGAAACAGGCTGTAGCAATGCAGCTTTCTACTCAGTCGTAAGAATCTTACGGGAATACTCTTGTCCAATCCCCCCTGGAAATACGTACAAACAGTGGGATGCGAAGAAGAATGCTTCAAGTCTTCGAGATTAAGCTGTTGCCAGAGGAACGGTATGTAAATGCGGAATTGTGCTTAGCCAGCTTAGGGTTGGGTTTGGGGGTTGCGTTTTAAAGAAATTGTGAAAATCGGGCGTTGGATTAATTAGACGCCACGCTTTAGATTCCGGAACTTAATTTGCGTTAGAGATAGGTTCGGTTTCTGGTCCGGGTTTAATTTTAAGGATAAATAGCAGCAAAATCCCTCAAACCTCTTACATTTTTGCAAATTCATCCCCAAACCTTTTTTGGACAACTGTGTCTGAAATTAGCATCCTTTATCCAAATGGGTGATTTATTGATTTTTTTTTGTTAGTCAACACATTTGACAAATAGGGCGTATTCGATAGAGATTAAAATTGGATTAAAATTGAAAAATTAGTCGTTATTGTTGACTTTTATTAAACGAGTGGGACCCAATAACGACAATATTTTCAATTTTAATTGGATTTTAAATTGTACCGAACATGCCCATATATCAAAAATAAAAAAAAGACATTTATTCACAGATAACTTGACAATCCAACTGTCAGGACGACAACGGGGAGGGGAGGGGAGGGGTTGGGCCAACCTCCCCACCCCACCAAGCAGGCCAATTGTCGGACGACAACGGGGCGAGGTGAGGCGAGGCGGGGCGGGGCTCCCCACCCCACCAAGCGAAGCAATTCCCAACTCTGTTACCCATTTAAGGTGGGGCAAGGCCCTTGCCCAGCTTACTACCTCATTTAATTTTTTTAAAAAATTTTGATAATTCATTTGTGTTGCACACATTCATTAGATTTAGACAAATAATTTTAATTGTCATTTTCTATTAGAATTAATGAAATTTCGTAATTTTTCATTTAAAGTATTGAATTCTAAAAAAAAATTAAACGGGGCGGGCGAGAGGCACCCCGTTATCCAAATGGGGCGGGGATCCACGGGTATCGATTTGTCGAGTTTTCTTGTCACCCCTACCCATTCTGAGAAAGACCAACGTACATGAAAATGAAATTAAGAAATCTAAATGCCAAGAAAGAATAATCAAGGACTCGTATACTCAATTTCTAAACTTTTGAGGACCGTAGTTACTCGAATCCGACTCCTTTAATCGTCCTGCCTTCCGGGTAGAGACCAGCCTGTTGTATCCGGGTCGGATCCGATTCTCCCACACTGACAAATAGACCCCTACCTAGTACCTAGAGTCATATCTGAGCTGCAGCCTAAGAAAACACGCACTTCACACAGTGGAGACCCTTTCAGTTTAAAGAAAATAATAAAAAAGATCGAAGAAATCAGAATCAAATGGGGAGCTTAGGTAGAGCAGTTTTCACCTTGGGAAACTGGATTCGAGAGACGGGTCAGGCTATGGATCGGCTCGGCTGCCTCCTCCAAGGAAGCTACCATATTCCAGAACAATGTACGCCCGATTTTTTAGATCCCACATTTTGCTTTTTTTATTTGAATTTTCGACCCTTATTTGATTTGTTGTTTAGATTGTGATAAAAAGGTTTATGTGAAAAAGTTGTACTTTTGAAGAAATGGTATTTGATTTGAGGAAATTATAAAGATTAAAAAGATGGAAATTGTGTATAATGATTTATCATATGGAGGTGAATAAGGACCCTTCATTGTGTTCGGCCAATATCTCGCCTTTGGCACATATTTAGCTACAAATTTGGGACTAAGTAAAAAATAATCAAACGTTAGGACCTGAATGAAAATGATTGTGATAAAGAAATTTTGAACTCAAGGTGTTGGCAATGGGATATTATGCAAAATTAAAGCGGGGCAAGAAATATTTCAGAGTTGTTCTCAGACTGGATATTTAGCATGATTTGAGGCTTTAAGAGCAGAAGATGAGATAGAAAGTGATATGGTCCTAATGTCCTATGGACTTATGGTAGATACACAGACGAAAAATATATACACCAAAGTGAGTATAAAGCTTCAACTCAATTATGGAAAAATGATAGTGGGAAGCTTTCGAATAATATCTAGGGATTTCAGTAAACTAAGCGGTTGGTTATAAATGCTATCAGGTTATTATTTCTAATAAAAGGCTGAAGAGAAAGAGAAACTTGGTTGTTAAGTTTCTAATCACCCGAAGAAAGAAAATCTATGACTTGTATGATTTACAGGCTTGACTGAATATCCTGCTTGATTTGAGTATAAATTGTTGATCATGCTGCAAGGTGCGGCAAATTTCTTATGATGTGGATACATGCCGTAATGAACACCCTGCTTATACTTTTCTTTATCTTGTGCATAGCTGTGTGGAAATAAGTATAATATATGGGCTCCTGGATCCATTTTAAGTAGCAGTAGAACCAAAGGCCTATGTTTGAGAACTTTTTCATCTTTTCAATATATAATATTAGTAACATAAGACATACGCTGCCAGAGTGCCAAGATTATGATCTACAAACTTGAAATCTTTTAACCTATCTTTAGCTTTCAGAAGCTTGCATTGCATGGCTAGAATAATTAAAGGTACTAGTAACCCAGGAGTTATACTGACCTTCCTCACCACAATATCTCAGCAACTTAAAACCAGGTTACTGGCCTGTCAGAGAGAGCTCTTCTGTCCTCTTGTAGTGGCAGATAGATTTGTAAGCATTATTTATATATCAGTTTAATAATATCAGGGTTGCTTACCAACATTTTGAAGTAAAAAATGTATAGGGGAGTGGATAGAAGGTACAATTGATAGAAGACTATGGTGAATGCTATGAGTAGAAAGAAAAAGAAGTCAGGTTTTGTTAAATTTCTCTGGTAGGCAATTGGGGAGGGGGTATAATGAGATATGCTATGGAGTTGGATGGATGTCGGGTAAAATCCATTGTAATTACATCGGATACATCATTACTTAATGGTTGGGGCAAATGTAAACGAACTGAAATTTTGATCTCTGGATGAATTGTAAATGGTCTGGCTATCCATGTTAATGAGGTATATGTCAATTCTTGAAGAAATATTATCGATTAAGAAGATAGCAGGGTCAAGTGTACAGAGACCTTTTTTACTTCTTAATATAGGATTTCTTCGGGGCATGGTTATAAGTCCTGAAAATTAGGTTGGGGAACATTGGAATAGCAGTTTAGGAACTCGTAAGCACTTGCAATAAGGGAGGAAAGATGAAATTGGGTTTACAGTTTGGCCTAATCATTGTTGGGGAGTGGTTACAGCATATTGATCGTCTTCATTGTTTAGAAAAGTTTAATTAAGTACTGAGACATAAGCATTTAGGCGTAAGGCTCAAGATAGACTAATAAATAATTAAAAATAATATAAAAGTACAAAAACATGCTAATTATAAATCATACATCTTCTTAAAAAATTCATAATAAAATAAATTAACAAAATTAAAAGTTAAGCTTGCAAACAATCATAAAATAAATAAAAAAAAAACCGATAAGCTAAGGCAAGTAATAGAATGTCCAGAGAATGTGACAAACGGGCAAACAACTTAGTTGTCTTGAGGCGTAAGCCTTAGTAAATCGAGGTGTAAGCCTTACAAATGGCACTTAAGGGCCGGGGTTCAATGCATTTTATGAAAGCCTAAATTTGTGTAAGCCTTTAATAGTTTTTTTTTTTTTTTTAAATAGTGGTTGCCTTTCTCCTTTCTTTCTTCCAACCATGAAAAGGAAGGGATGATAGACAACACTGGAACAAATTATTGGCATATACGAGTAAGTGAAGTTAATTAATTTGTACATCATTATATGCATTGGGCATATTGCAAGTTTTAAAAAAAGAGGATTGCCTAGTGGTTAAGTTATCCCTTCTTTGAAGTTGAAGAATTACCTGGGAAAAGACCAGCTAGGGCCTATAGTTCCTCGTTTAATGACATGGGAACTAACATTCCTATGTACATGCATGGACTTAGCGTAAGCATATTTTGCATGGGCAAGCAACCGTTAGGTACATGAAATTATGCTTGAGCATGATAAAATATTTATTTATTTTGTGTTTCTCCTATTTCAAATGATATGGTGCTTGATGGAATGTAGATGTGTGCTTTAATTAAAGTAGTTGTACAAATAATATGAATCTCCTTTTTTTTTTTTATGATAATCATTAAGAATTGTCAGCGCATCTTTTACCCTTGTTCAATTGTCAATATGTCTACCTCCGGAATACTTGAAATTTTTTTCTCTTTAGCAGCCATGTAAGTGTTAAAACTGCAAGAAAGTTGAGCAATTGTTTCCAGAAAGCTCTACTTACATGTTAAAAAATTAATCAATTATACGAGTATCTGAAAATCTGACTAGACCTTTATCATCTATGCATTTGTAGTAGTTTTAACTGAGCTTTATGGCTTTGTAGTAGAGAGCTTTATTATTCCTCCTCCAATAGGAAGTTAGGAGTAAGAGAAGAATTATTTACAGGAATCCGTTATATTTTAACAGTTATAGGATGCGAAAATTTAAAACAAAGGTTGATGTTTTGATCATGGACAATCCCCACTAGTAATGAAACATATAGACCCTGTTTGGTATGTGGATTAAAATCAAAATTTTAATCTAAGTTGAATTCAGTAATTAATTTTAACCACTTATTTCTAGGGTCCATAACTTTTTAAACATATTTTATCATTTTTTATCAAAATCTATTAAAATTTAATTTTAATCCTCGCCAAACAGGGCGTAGAACTTTAGGTCTTCCAGGCTTAAACTTGAGTAGAGTTTAAAATAGTCTAATTTAAGTTTAAAAAAATACTAGAAAATTTATGAAATAAAATCCTAATTATATATCCTAAAATAAGTATTTAATTTGGAAAATAAACAATTAATAAAATATTAAAAAATATATTAAACAAAATTCAAATTATGTTTCCTAAGTTAAATATCTAATTTGGAAGGTAAATTAAATAATATCTCTACTAGGATTTTTATTATTTCTCCTCGACTGAGAGCACTCGACTCCGATGAGATAGACTGTAACTTCATTCTTCGACGAGGTCGGTCTTTTGTCCAGAACTCTTATGGCAATTTATGGCATAACTTATACCAAGGAGGCAATCTTTCTTATTGACCAAATAATGATATAACACAATTGAAAATGAACTAAATTGAGAAAGAACTAGGGCGAGAGAAGAGAAAGAGGAGGGAGTTAATAGAGAAAATTTAGCGGGAGAAAGGATGAGTTTATTTAATAACAAAGTCTAACTATTACAATGTATAGGTTTAAACAAGTCTAATTTAAGTAGAAAAATACTAGAAAATCTATTAAACAAATCCTGATTATTATTATTTTCAAAATAAGTATCCAATTTGGAAAGTAAACAACTAATAAAATATTAAAAAATCTATTAAATAAAATCCTAATTACGTTTCATAAAATAAGTATCTAATTTGGAAAGTAAATTCAATAAATCTCTATTATGATTGCCATCAAGTTGCCTCCCCCCTCTGAAACCAGGTATGCTTCATTTGATTCCGGTTGTCTGATCTTTCCACTTCTGCATCTGTTTTTGGTCTGTCCGAAAAGAAACAAAATTAAAAAATTGAAAAGGACACGATTTGCATAATCTTCTTGATTTATTTTCATTGCCCATTTCTATTGTTTTTGTTGCATGTAAATTAAATGTTTGATCTATGAAGCCAATTGTATTGGAAAGTAAATTCAATAAACCTCTATTATGATTGCTATCAAGTTGCCTCCCCTTTCTGAAACCAAATATGCTCCATTTGATTCCGGTTGTCTGATCTTTCCACTTCTGCATCTGTTTTTGGTCTGTCCAAAAAGAAACAAAATTAAAAAACTGAAAAGGACACGATTTGCATAATCTTCTCGATTTATTTTCGTTGACCCTTTTTATTGTTTTTATTGCGTGTAAATTAAATGTTTCATCTATGAAGCCAATTGTTTTGGCTTATCTATGCTTAGAACTTCTTCCAGCTTTTGGTTTGATTGAGCATTAGCTTAATGAAATATAACTTTTTTCTAAATGAAATAACCATGTGGCTTTATTTTGTTAGCTGTTATTTTAGATGTTTGTAATTGGTGGTGGATACCTTCTTGCGGCTTACCTTCAATATTTTATTCCTTCTTACATATATTTTCACACTTTTTTTCAGTGTCCAGGCATCGAACACTGATGAATATTTTTGATAAAGCTCCTATGGTTGATATGGATGCATTTGTTGCCCCAGGCGCTTCTGTCATAGGTGATGTTCAAGTGGGACAAGGATCATCCATTTGGTATGGATGTGTCCTTAGAGGTGGGTTTTTCTATCGGTACTCCTCATTGTCAGTGGTTGTTTAGTGAATTTAGATATGTCCATTTTCAGTTGATATAAGAATGTTGGAAGGCAACCATGATTTTTTATGTTTGAAAATTTTGAAGTGAACTAATTTTGTTTGGTAAATTATCATGCAAATTGTAGACATGTGAAGCATTTGATGCATATGGTTCCGCCATGTCATTGCTTGTGAAACGCTGTATCATTGTTTGCAGCAACTTTGCACTATATCATGAATTATCATTTCCTTGTTCAAATCTTTGGCAAATGAATTGAAAAGTAATTTACACCACTCTGTTCCAATAAGATTAGATGTGATGTTAAAGAGAGAAAACGACTTTGGATTTAAGTATTTTCTCCCTGATTAATATATGCTACAGTGGATCATCTGTAGACAATTGAGCCACCTAAATTTAAAACTTGAATTATGGACTGCAAACTCTTGGGAACAAAATCGATTACTTTTTCATGTTTTCTGATTTTTCATATGGTTCTATAAAAAATTATACCTTGAGTATGCTTCTGGTCTGTACCTCTGGTTTGCATTGCTCTTCATCTAGATCTTATTTTTGGTTTGATTGTTTTAAAAGGCTTTACAACCTGGGTAACTCTGCTTGCCTCGACACCATACATCTTAGGGTTAGAGAAAATATTTAGCAAGGAAGAATACTCTCTTTTATAAAGTAATTTGATTTGGGTATCTTATTATGCACCAGGTGATGTGAATAGCATCAGTGTTGGGTCTAGAACCAATATACAAGACAATTCCCTTGTACATGTGGCTAAATCTAATATAAATGGAAAGGTGCTGCCAACTATTATTGGAGACAATGTCACTGTTGGTAAGTATTACATTTTTGTACTTTGATATAATAGTTTCTCACTTATTTTCGTCGGGGTTGTATTTTGATTTTGTAAGTATTAGATAGCAAGAATTCGAGACGCTTTTTCAGCATGTTTGGTTTAGTTTATAAGTAACTTACAGGTCTTTCCAAACATATTTACGTATACTACTTTCACCTTTTCAAGTAAAAAAAAAAATGGTAAGTTACTTGGCCCCTATTTGACAACCATTATTATTTGGGAAAAACAATGGTTTGAATAACGATTTTTAGAAGAATGTGTGGTTAAAATACATGAAAAAGTTTTAGGTTTTCGTGTTGAATATTTTATTGTATGAATGTGTAGATGAAAATGAGTATGTAGAAAAAAGAGTGTTCAAATAATGGTTGTCAAAAAGAGGCTTATTTTGATAGCAATGGGGAAAGATATGCCAAATATGCACTTTTATCCTAGTTGAGTATTTGTATGGATAATGACTTATAATTTGCCACATAGGTCATAGTGCTGTTATACATGGCTGCACGATTGAGGACGAGGCTTTCGTTGGTATGGGAGCCACACTGCTTGATGGTGTGGTTGTAGAGAAACATGCCATGGTTGCTGCGGGAGCACTCGTCAGACAGAACACAAGAGTCCCTTTTGGCGAGGTACACTTTCTATTCTGACACCAGAAATCAGAAGAGAAAATGCATTTCCCATATGTTGAACTGCATTTTAAATTTCATGGACTAAATACAATTATACGTTTGGAATTTTCACGTCACAGGTGTGGGGAGGTAATCCGGCCAAGTTCCTCAGGAAGCTTACAGATGAAGAAATAGCATTCATCTCCCAATCAGCATTGAACTACACCAACCTTGCAAAAGTCCATGCTGCTGAAAATGCGAAGTCTTTTGATGAGATCGAGCTTGAAAAGATGCTGCGTAAGAAGTTTGCTCGACGTGACGAGGAGTATGATTCAATGATTGGTGTCGTTCGTGAAACTCCCCCAGAACTCATTCTTCCAGATAATATTCTACCGGATAAAGCGCCCAAGGCTGCTCAATGAGATCTTTCACTGGTAACTTCGCTATCTTCGGAACTCATTCCAAAGTGCAATATTGTAGAGAACGGTTGTCTTTTTTGACAAATAAAATTGAACATGTTTTCGGATGGACTTATTGTGCACGTTACTTTGCCGACTCCTCGGGCTGCTGCTCCCAGGATTATGCTGTTGGTTTCTTTGTACCTCAGACGTCTTATTATTGCTGAATCTGCTGGATTATATTATTACATAACACATGATGGCATGTCATGTAAATTGATATTTGTTTCCTTGTAATGTCAAAAGCCTCGAGACTACTCTTTTGGAACATCACATGCTATTGATCGATTTTTATGTAATGGGATTTAGCACCGGCAATAGAGGTGTAAAGTGAGATAGGCTGCATGTCCCAATACACAGCAAAAATAGGCACGATTAGAAAATAGATCCAAAGGTTTAAATCCACTGACGGCCCCCCAAATTTATACTTAGTGCATCATGACCGATTTTATTTCACCATAACCACTCGATTTTATACTCAGTATTACCATGGTCATCCAATTTCATATAACATTTCATCATAGTCTCGCAACTTCTTTTCGTAATTTTCATTTATTTTAAAATGGGTAAAACAGTAACTTTGCATTATATATATAAAATAAATTTTAAATAAAATAAAAACTTATTTTTTAGTTTTAAAAATTTACTTAGAAAAATAAAATAGAATAAAAAGTTATTTTAAAATAAATGTTTTTAAAATTAAAAAAAAACTTTCAATTTTGTTTTTTCTTATATGTGTGCGTGTGTGTTTTGAGCAACATTTAAATTATCACCCATTTTTTTACTTATTTTCAATCACTCATTTATCAATAAAGTAATATTTTTCATCACATCAATAACTTTTCTTGATTTGCAACTACACATTCTCTATCAATCTATTATTTGAAAATTTATGCTTCCAAAATAATGTGACTCAAACGCACCCATAATACAAAGTTATTGTTTTACCCTTTTAAAAATTAGCGAAAATTGTGAGAAAAAATTGGGTGATCATGATGAAATAAAATTAAATTTGGTGACTATGGGTATACTAAATATAAAGTTGGATGACCATGATAACACTAAATATAAATGCTGGAAACCTCTCATATGGAAAGATGAAAAGGAAATGCAAATTGTATTTTTCCACAGCAAATGTAAAAAAAAAAGATATAAATTTATATTTTTTTTACATTGACAAGAGGCAAAAAGTGGATTCAGATATTTTCATTGAAACAAAATTTGAAATTAGATCCACTGAAATATAAATGAGAATGTAAAAGTGATTTTGGAGATGTCAATTTACACAACCATTAAAGATGTTCTAACTCAATTGTGACTAAAATATATGATTTTACGAATATTTTACGTGTCTCTTTATTAGAATTATGAAAACTTATTATTTTTTCTTGAATAAGGATTTTCAAGGAAAAAGTAAGAAATTAGAAAAATGTTACTTTTTCTCAAAAGATTTAGCTGCAAATCTTTGAACTTGTGTATTGTAAATGTAAGGAATTACTGAAATATGTATATGCAAAAAATATTTTACTTACATATGAATAATGCTATCTATCACCATTGATGATTATTACCTGATTAGGTGACATTGAAACCATTGTCACATAAACAAAAATACATTTGAAAAATACCAAACAGCTATTGCACGAAAGATCTAACTTCAAGTTCACTAACCCTGTTGAGTCAATTAAAACTTAGTGATCCAATAGATGTTTCGTTGGAAGTTCAGAAATGTATATGAAATTCGCTAAAATAAGTAGTTACTAACTTCACAAGGAAATGGTGACTTTAGAAGTGAACAATTTTTTATAAGTAAGAAGAAAGTAGCTTATGCTTAAGCTTTGCCAAACATGCACTTCACACTTTTTTTTTGTTAATTTTCTTATAGAAGCACAACAAAAGTTGGTTTTCTGAAGCAAGCAGCATACTGAGGAAAATATAATTTTACCGAGGACGACATTTCTAGCTCAAAACATCTCAGGAACCACATTGTAAACATGTTGTCATAGCCAACGTAGAATTGAGTACAAAGGGCTACTTATTTAGGCACTAAGATTCAATAACTATGTTCTCGAGGTTCATATATGCATGAACAGAACTAGCCTACTCTTTTTTGTGGAAGCGATGAGTAGTTTCATCTTATATACTCGTTCCATCTTTAACCGTTGCATTCTTCAATATGACAGTGATTCCCGACCTAATGTAGAAACCTTCATCGCACCTATCTGCTTCTTCGACACCCTGAGAAAGCACGGTTGTGATTATATCAGTAATGAAGTTTCAGTCTGAGATCCCAATATAAGTTCCAAGTAAAAATATTTTGAACAGATTAACAGATGTATGTATACTTACATCTTTATTTGCAATGACGACGTCTTTTCCAATCTTTGCATTCTTGTCGATAATGCAATTTCTTCGTGCAAAATCACAAATAAACTGAGTCAGAAGGTGTAAGCAACGAAAGAAAAAAATAAAGGAGACAGATGTCAAAGTTATCAGAGCTTACAAGAGAATACACATCATATAAAAAAAATATCATATTGGGGTAGAATTCGAGAAAATGAGTCCTTAGGAAACAAAATAAGTTAACAAGTAACTTATGTTCCAGTTTAATCATTGAAACATTAATTTATTTTGAACTTATTAACTCATAAGTGAACCTTTTAAGCTGAGCTAAACATGCTCACGAGTCACGTCTAGAAATTGAAGTTACGTATGTACAGAAACAAGCATAAGGAAAATGAAATGAAAGCGCCCAACGCTGCCCATACCTTATTTTGGTATTGCGTCCCACGCCAATTGGAACCTTTCCTGCCGCTAGAAGAGACGCGATTTCAGATTCTGTTTGATAATAATCTGCACCCATCATCATGGTATCCTAAAAGAGAGAAATGTCCAGGTTTTCAGAAATCATATTCGTAGTTTCATTGTAACATTATCTCAATGCTGGCCCCACAAAATGCACAAATAGCTATCGAAATCTATTTGCTTCGATAGTTACGAGTCTATTAATCTTTGTTACTACGCTAAGGCACCCCCACTACGGCTAAGAAAAGATAAGAACATACCTCAAGCTCAACACCATAGTCCAAGCGCGACCTTATGCCCACTATAGAGTGCTGCACGCTACATTCTTGCAAGAAGCAACCATGTGAAATTATGGCATCAACTATCTGAAAGAAGCAGCCATTCGTGAGACACGACAGAACTAAAAGCCAGAATCACATTTTTCTAAGATTACCGGCATACCCGACTTTTTTCAACTTTAGTAGGGGGTAAGAATCTTGGAGATGTATAGAAAGGGGTCTTCGGGTCATTGAAATCAAACTTTGGAGGCTGCAGACAAGAAAGTGAGCAGCATCAGCTTGCATTTCTAGAATTAATACTCCACATTTTCATTGAAAAAAGCATAAAAATACTCATGCATCTAGCACAATTCATCCCACTAAATTAGCATATTATCTCATATCAAACTAATTAAACTTGGTCTCCAAATTATCCAAGCAAATCCATTTCCCTATTTAATACTTTCCATTTTCAATGTAAAATGTCTATAGTTAGTTCGATTCTGTACTTCCGCCAATTTTTTTCTAAAACAAACATAAATATACATGGGATTTTGCAATGTTGATCAAGATGCACATCTCAATCATAATTTATCAGAGTTAGATATGCTCAACAGTTTGGATGTCACTCTCATGAAAGAGATACTAACCTGCTCCGTGAGTGCCAAGTTGGAATCAAAGAAAGACTTTATTGTTCCAATATCCTCCCAGTAGTCGCTAAATAGATATGCCTGATATTATAACAAGATGCATCGGGAACACAATAGTCAGCACGATTTGAATGTCAACTTCAAAAACCACATATCTGTGATATCTTTTTAGTGCCTATATGGTATCAGTACGAGGCAGGAATAGACAGTTTAGTAAGAAAGATTTTAGCTTCTTTATATAATTTAATATTGTCTAGTACTATTCAATCTTCCTTACTAAACATGCCGTAATATTTTGTGCCTGATCTCACTTGAACATTGTGGTCTTTCACAGCTGAAGGAATGATCTCTGAGCCAAAGTCGTTGCATGAAGGATACTTCAACTGTAGAAGCTTTAGTAGGACGTCCGTTTTGAACACATAAACTCCCATTGATGCAATATAAGGATATCTTGGAGCCTCTTGTTCAGGAAGTCCCAGAACAGAGGTATCGACTTGCTGCAGAACATCATCAAACAACCCAAGAAATGTTAGAATATGAAATAACAAAATATAAATAGATTAAACAGTTGAAACAGTGAGTTCCTGAAGATATGAGGTCACAGAAGTCGCAAGGAAAACTCAAGTTTTAAAAATTATGTTAGTATACCATTGCTCTCAGAGCAGAGCCCTTTGGTTTCTCAGCAAATTGAATGATACGCCCAGATTCATCGATTTTCATCAATCCATAGTCTGAGGCTCGGCTGCAAAACAAAAGAAAACTTGAAATTTACTGACTCTTCGAGAAAAACATTGATAAATGATTTTCTGATGCCAAACAAAAGCTACATTTCATATTTTCAACTAGTAAGGGGGCTTTTAAGGGTTACCTAACTATGGATGTAAGAAGTACAGATGTCACATTTACGTAAAACAGAAGATGCAGCTACATGTAACTGAGAGAGACACTTAATACACATAAAGCAGTCATTTCCAGAAAAAAGAAAGAGAGAATCCCCGTTTATCTCACCTTAACATGTAAGTATATAACAAAACTTTGTTAAAAGTTGTTTTTATTTATTGACAAATGATTCATGAGAATTTTTGGGCATGATAAAGAGTTACTGCTATACTTCTATCTGTCGACATTCAAATCTTTGTCTCTAGGTCTGTCATATTTTAAGGCTCAGAGTGGGCACATTCCTCAAATGATGATTAATGCTTTGCTTGGAAAAAAAAAAAAAGGTGAATAGACAGTCACAAACCTATCATCCATGGGTACACATGAAACCGTAATGTCAGCATTTGTGTCAATATGTCTCTGCAAGCACAATTTCCGTTAATTAGACAAATATTTGCAACATGCATCGAGTTACTGATTGCAAAATATTCTGATCGAGTCACCAAGTACCTGAACAAAGTCCATATAGTCCATTCGGTAAAGATGGTCACCAGACAAGATAAGAATGTTTTCAACATTTTTATTTTTAGCATCCTACAACATGTTCAGAATCATCATTTCCTATGCTCAATGAGTTCTTCAATATCAATTTAGCTTCTAAACAACGTACCTCAAACACCCATATAAATTGCCTCACAGCATCTGCTGTTCCTTGAAACCACTTCTTACCTGCTTCCCCTGGTGTCTGAGTGGCAGCTAGAACCTATTTCGAACACGTATATTTCTTTTTAAACTAAACATAATCTAAAGGGACGCATAAAAAAAGTTTTTTTTTTCCCTCTAACAAGGCAATTAACACATTAATATTTATTAGCCAAGAATGAATCGGAACTTCAAAAAGTTTCAAAATGAGATTTCTTGCTATTTGCAGACGGAAGGTTTAGCTAATTAACAATTCACTATTTTTTAGTCAACAATTGCATCTTACCTCCACAAATCCATCCCCAAAATTCACACCATTTCCAAAGTTATACGTGCGAGCAAGGTGGCGATTAAGGGAGAAAGAGTTGAATTGAGTTAATATGAAAATATTCCGTATCCCACTGTTGATGCAGTTACTCATGGGTACATCAATTAGCCTGTAACAACCTCCAATAGGAACCTGCAGAACAAACCATGCGATCACACGTTCAGATATTAACCTTCATGTCAATTGTAATTAAATCTCTTAACAAAAATTTTGTACTCTGAAGTCCCTGAGTTCAATACTGTTCTTTGTGAAAATGGCATACTTTTAGAAATAAAATCACTTATTTTTTCCTCGTAGAATAAGAATAGCAATATAAATGAAAAAGCAGTCTCCCTACATGAATTCGATTGCCGATTTTCGTCGTCATCAAAAGCTAACATACTGAATTTTACCATAATCAAAACCCAAGACAAATACTACACAATAAGCAAAAGTATGTTAGAACTTCTCTTACAGCAGGTTTAGCTCTCTTGCTGGTAAGAGGAAAGAGCCGAGTCCCAGCACCCCCACCAAGAATTATTGAAGCCACACTTTTAGGATCTGCCTTTCGAGGATCATCAAATAATGGTGCTTCAAATGCCTGAAACCATTTTTAAATGCAAATTCATACAAATCAAACAAATATTTCAAGAACATAAATGAAATCTTGAGGTGAATTTATTCACTCACCACCAATTCTTTGTTGATATCGCGTGTCAAAACCGAAAATGCAACTCCAGGCTTGAAATCTTTTCCCCTGTTTTCACTTCTTAAATTCTGCGAAACCAGTTTTCGAAAAGCATTATTTTTCAAACTCCCTCTGATTTTCTCCCCCCAAAATCCATTTCCCTCCTGGCTAAAACCCTTATTGGTTTGCATTGGTTGCACTTTAGCTTTCATGGCCACACAGCAAGATTCCATTGTTAAATCCTAAATAATTAAGCAAAGATTCTAGAATTTATTTTATGTAAAAAGCACTGACTATGGAATCCTAGGATCTCAGTACACGTGCACACCGAATATAAAAGGTTAAAATGCCTTTATCAAAGATCCCAATTCTCGCAAGAACGTCCCACGAAAAATCTTGAATCTTGATTAAGAAAAAAGAACTAAAAAAGTAATGGCTTTACACAGCAAATCACTGATCCACGTCAAATTTAAGCCCCCACACAAATAATAAATAATAACTTAGATCAGAAAACACTTTCTGTCAAAATTCAAAACCAAAATAGCTCTTAGAAAATCACAAAATCAAATCAAACAAAGACCCTAATCAGAGTTTTATTCAAGATCCAAGATTCTGAAAGAAACTGAAAGTTTGACACAACAAAAAGAACATCGGAATTTGACAGATTTTAGGTGGAGAACTGGTGTCAAGAATGTGAACTTTAGTGAAACAAAAAGGGCCAGTTAGTTGTACGCACGTGAATCTCTAGAATTTTCGAAAAGATCCGCTTTTTTTATTCACTTCTAATAACAGTCACTCGGCAATAATTGCAGACTACTAGGTTTACTTATGAACAACAATATGGAAGATTTAGTACAATACCATTCTGTTTAATATTTTATTAATTATTCTATTATTAGCCTCAAGATTTCATATTTTGCTTTTCAATTCCAATCCAATAGGTGATGGTGCACCCCAAAAGTCAGCAGAGTTGTTAACTCTTCTCCAATGTTGTAAGGATAGGTGTCAAGTGGGACCCTGAGATACCAATATTCGGTGGTCTATGATGTGAGTTGGGTCGACACAATTTAAAAGGTACAACATGAGTTGAACAGATCAAATCTAAGAGGTTCGGGTTCATGGTTACTACGATTAGACAAGCACGAATGCATCTATTAATTTTAAAAAAATACAAATGGGGTCAGTTATATACTTTGCAAATTGCAATAATGAGTATAATGCAAAATGAAAAAAAAATTGAAAAAATATATGGATGGAAAGGTTTATTAAAAAGTCAAGCCCCTGTTTGAGTCGTATTAAAATTTCAGTCTCATTCTTCTACTCATTTTCAACCACACATTATTCAATAAAATAATATGTTTCAACACATCAATAATTTTTTCTTATTTTTCAATTACATATTTTTCATTAATCCACTATTCCAAGATACATTCTTCCAAAATAATGTGGCTCAAACACACCCTTAATTCAGTTTCATGTTTCATCAATATAAGGTGCCAACCTATTGGTATCTTGTGTGGTAATTTCTAAAATATCATATCATGGTTTCCAAACCCCAAGTATAGAAAATTGGAACTATTCATAAAATTGGTATGTTCGTGTAGAGGCAAGCACATGTAGGGTTGGATTGATTTCGGATCAATTTCGAATTTAACACGACAACCAAATTGATAGTTTTTATTGGGTGGAATATCTACTAGAAATCAAACGACAAGACGAATAAATCGACTCAAATATCAATACCTTGACATGAATAGTAAAAACATGGATGTGATATACCAAAAAATTACAGTTGCAGGTTCTCAGTAATAATTATAATCCATAGCTCTTAATACAGGATCATTCAAATCAAGACAATTCACGGAACGTGAGAAGTAAATTAACATAAGTCGGTTTGGTTAGATTCAGTTTGTTTAGTTGAATAATTTTTTCTCTTGAAGATCAAATTTTTTAAGCTGACTTCTCAAATTTAGATTTTCGAGTTGATGATTTAGGTTGATGAGACGGATAATTTACCTAAAATCTATATTTTTCCAATCATGCATCACGTGTTCACATGTCCTTGACTGGGCACTCACACATGTGGGCCCACGTATAATTTTTTTTTTTGGGTAATTAACACATACGTCCCCATCTTTTATTGCGCAAAATGTCATTTTTATCTATTTTCTCAATTAAAAATTGTAAAATGACGAATAAAATAAAATAAAAAAAGAAGAAAAAAACAAATTGCAAACATAATCTCAAATTGTTTTGAAAAGCGCAAATGAGTTCCAAATAAATTATTAAAATGGTAATTAGCACATAATGTCCCTACCTTTTACTATTATTGCAAAAAAGTAAATACATTTTATTTTTTGGCATTTTCACCCTTAATTACATATTTGATAACGCAGACCATCATTTTCTATTCATTTTAATCCAATTTCTCAATAAAAAGTTATGAAATGACGAACATACAATCCTATTAAATAGAAAAGCTAGAGAATTAATTTCAACTATAGTCACAATTTTTTTTTTTAAAAAAAAAAGTGAAAACGAATCTCCAATAAATTATTTAAAAAATTAATTTTTTTTTAAAAGTGCAAACGAGCCCCAATTAAATTTACTTAAAAATTTTTAAAAAAATTTTTAAAAAGTGTAAACGAGTCCCAAATAAATTATTAAAGAATTAGAAATTAAAATATTTTTTAAAAAATATGAGGGAATATTCATTATTTCATAATCTTTTATTGAGAAATTAGATGAAAATTGATGAAAATGATGATTTACACAATCAAATGTGTAATTAAGTGTGAAAATGTCAAAAAAATTGAAAGGTGAGGACTTTTTTGTAATAATGGTGAAATATGGGGACATTATGAACTAATTACCCTTTTAATAATTTATTTAGGATTCATTTGCGCTTTCTAAAAAAAATTGGGATTATGGTTGCAATTATTTTTTTCTTTTTCTTTTTCTTTTTTGTTTTATTTAAAGAGAATGTTATATTTGTCATTTCACAATTTTTAATTGAGAAAATGGATGAAAATGACATTTTTGCACAATGAAAGATGAAAATAGGGGTGAAAATGCCAACAAGTAGAAGGTAAAGACATTTTTCATAATAACAAGGAAAAGTGAAAACGTTTTTTACTAATTACCCTTTATTTTTTAATACATGGTGTGGCCCACCATCTGAGTGGCTTGGTGAACCCCAATAAATTTCCTTGTATGTGGGGATTAATTGATACTTTTGACATGTGGAACAGTCCAAACGTGATAACGTGACTGGACTTGGATCCCAGTCAAATCAACCCGTCTGTTTGATTGAGTTTAATGACTATGTCCTATCTGTGTAAACCAAAAAGATGTACCTTTCAATAAATAATTACTACTACATGTCATATTAGATTACTAAATAAAATAAGGGTCCGTTTGATTGCAAATGTGAAAAATTGATGGAAAGAAAATGAATTATAGAGAATTAAATTGTTTAAAAATTATTTTACTGAGAATTGTAATTAATTGTGTTTGATTGGTATAATTTTTCACCTGAAAAATGTTGAAAGTATGGTGTCCATTTGACTTTTTTTTTATAAAAATTGTCAATTAAAATGATAATTTTTTTCACCATGGATCTAGAATTTGTTCCAATTGCCAAAAAAAAAAACTGAAAAATACAAAAATCACCAAAACAACAAGAAAACCAATTCCTTGAAAAGTGGGAAAATGGGCACGTGAGAGGTGGGGGTGGAAAACATTTTCCAAATAAAATTTTTGCAATCAAACGGTGCAAAAGGTGGAGAATGAAAAAAAAATTCCAACTTCCAAGAAAAATCTTGTTTATCAAACATGGCCTAAGTATTATTGAACTAAAACTATGTACAAGAAATAGATGGTACTGTTAAAAAAAAATTCTTAGAGTCGTATTCATTTTTCTAATTTTAATATCGGTTAGGAAAAATTGCAACAACGATTCCAAACCTTTGAATTTTTTTTATAGACTTTAACGTAACCTTCAATTGTGCCCCCAACTGTTCCAATCATTTTGAAAAATTAGCACCTAGGGTTCAAATAGATGGATTCCATCCATTTGATTGTTAATTGACCAATAAAATGTGTTTTGATTGAATCTAAAGAGGGTAAAATGATAAATTTGTCATTATTCCACATAAAACAATTAAAACAAAAAAATGTAAAAAGAAAAATGGAAGTTTTCACCTTCCCCACCCACCCCACCCCACCCCACCCCAATCCAACCGAACCGAACCGAACCCAACCAAAACCAAATCAACCCCTTCGTCGCCTTCTTCCACATCCACCACCACTTGTCATTGCCGCTGAACTCCACAGGCACTTTATTATTGTGTTTGTGAAAATGAGAAAATATTATTACAAACTCCATGCAAAGTGTACGAAAATTTTCAACATTCTTAGGAGTAACATTAGCACAAAATTGCTTGTAGGAGCAACAATAAATTAGTCAAGGATTAAGAATATCCAGTACTATGAATGGCAAAGTGATTGACAAACATTAGAATATGCACTCCAATTTTTCATTGCTATTAGTACCTGTTTCAAATAAAGACAACACATCAAAAAGTCATCCTTTAAAAATGGACCCAGGTGCTAATTTTTCAGAGGTTTGGAATAGTTGGTGGTACAAACTAAATGTTAAGGTAAAGTCTGCAAAAAGTCAAAAGTTTGGAACCGCTGTTGCAATTTTCCCTATCGGCTATTTAAATGATGAATCTTTTTAACCTAACAAATTTTAATACTATTTAAAAATAATAATGCAGAATCTTTAATGGTCACTAGTTAGAGTCCCCTTAGAGTCATTAAGGTGAGTACCGACCGTAAATTTCAGGGACCCGTGGGATTAGTCGAGGTGCGCGCAAACTGGCACGAACATCCACGATTATAAAAATAATAATAATAATAATGCAGAACATATATTTACTATACTTTCAGGGAGAAAATAGTGCTAATCATTTGACATTCTAACTTTACTTATAAGTAATAATTGTCAAGCTTAAAAGTAATTCTACACAAATTATACTAATCAAACACAACCGAAACGAAAATAAAGAACTTTTACGACAACGCTAGGAGATAGTCTTTGCATGGATTTTATCCTAGAAACTTGATTGTAATATAAGAAATCTCATAATCGTCAAATATTTAAATATTGAAAAATTGAAATGCGGTGTATAAATGGAGATGACACTAACTTGTTTGGGAGTGATTTTAATCCAGTTAAAATTGAAAATATAGCCGTTATTGGGTCATACTCGTCTAATAAAAGTCAACAATAATGGCTAGTTTTTCAATTTTAATCCGATTTTAATCTCTACCAAACAAGCTATAGTCAGGAAAAAAATAATTATTTTTAGCCAACGTATTTTAGTGGTATTGCTTTTTTTTTTTTAACTAACAAAAAAGTAAAAAAAAAAAGCCGAGACAACCACATATCGCTTTGCCGACTTTATAATATCTGTAGCTTTAAAAGTGAAAAAAAATTACACGTTCTAAGCAACGACAGGGGCTAGTTTTTCTCCTTTTATAAGTATCTTTTGTACGGCCACTCAAACATGTTTAAGAATTTATTTAACCAAGCAAACTCAATTTCTTTTTGTTGTTGACTATACTTTTGAGTTAAAAGTGAATAAAGTTTGCACGTACTAAACAACGACAGCTCTGGTTCGGACAAAACTCTCGAATTGAACGATTCTTCTTAAGTTAAATATCTGAACATGTATACGAATCGAAAATTGATGATGTTGGTTCGATTCTCGGTTCTAAATCAAGAACTGAAAAATTGCATAAGAACCGAATCTTCATAATTTTTTTAAATCTTAGATAAACCAAATTATTTTATTTTTTCTAAATAAATTTGCTAACTAATTAATTTAGCCTAAACCCAAAATATATTTTCCTATTTGTAATTTAAAGCCCAAGTTTAACTTAATTAAATTGACCTAAATTTTACTAAAATCTCTTATTCTATTGTAGTGCCGTTCTAGAGAAATCAAATTGGGAACTTGGCTGCACCTCTCTAAATTATTATGAGCTCGCTATTCTCCTCTTCCTGTGATTTAAACAGCCATCTATGAAGGACTCAACAAAGAGAGACGTAAAAGATATCACGAGATTGAAATTCGTTATTTTATAAGAGCTAAAATTGAATATGTCATTAATTAAATTAATATAGCTTTGTTGTAAATATTAAAAAAAATTAATTATTGTACGAAAATTGAAAACTGAATAAAATCGAACCGAATTGAACCGAACACAAATGGTTCCATAATTAAATTTGGACTTGACGATTCCATTTATTAAATACACTAAAATTCGAGTTAGGTTCGATTATCTTTAGAATGTAATAGAATCAAACTAAATATAAACTAAAGATAATATTGTATATTTATGCATGTCGATAATTTATTTTTTTTCGTCTTATAAGTAGACTTATAAGCCTAACTAAACAACACATATTCAGCTCCATCAGAATTTTTTTCTCAGTTAATTGTATTTCAAACAGTGTCAAGGCATAGCTGTTACTAGGACTAAACATAGGTCGAGTTTGGATCACCCGGCAACCGGGGTGAAATCTCTACCTAAAACCAAATCGACAAAATAAATAAACCGACTCAACCGACCCGAGTCGGTTTAGTTCGATTCGATTTGTGGAATTTAAGGATTTTTTGTTGTATGGAGCTTCTCCTTTATGGAGTGATATGACATTGTGATCTTGTGCAATTGGAACTTGAGAGAACAATAAAGAAAGAAAATAAAAATAAATAAAACGATTTCATCTCTCCAGTCCAGCCTGATCGAAATAAATGCTTCTCCAAAAAATAGATGAGATTAATTTTTTTTTTTTTTTAATAATATTTCACTCAAGTCGCTGAAGTTTAATCAGGCCCCGTTTTTGTCATCGAACTATGGTTTGTGAACACTTGGAATAGACGGACTTTATCAGCCCATTTCTACTTGACATTTCTGTTAGTATTAGACGGAGTTAAGCAGAATGACTATTTGGAATAGAAAGGTTTCGTGATCAAACTAAACAGACACTATGACAAGTTTGATGAGTAACAACTAACAAGTAAGTTTTACCCCTAAATTTAATGGTTGAAAGCTATGATAGAGGAAATAAAAGAAAATTCAGGACATATTCTCAACTTGGAGATGACAACGAGAAGATGTACACGACAAGGAAGAATACCTAAAGCAACACAAGCGCCTATTCGTGAAATGCGAGAACAAGAGGAGACCTCAACCGGACCATCGTGCCACTAGCTCCATCTATTGCCGAGGACCTACCAATAATCGAGCCCAACTCCATGTCCCCTGCCCAAACCAAGCTGTGGAGCTTCTAGCTGAGACAACCACATATCGCTTTGCCGACTTTATATAATATGTAGCTTTAAACGTGAAAAAAATTACACGTTCTAAGCAACGACAGGGGCTAGTTTTCTCCTTTCATAAGTAGCTTTTGTACGGCCACTCAAACATGTTTAAGAATTTATTTAACCAAGCAAACTCAACTTCTTTTTGTTGTTGACTTTATACTTTGGAGCTAAAAGTGAATAAAGTTTGACTGCTCCACATTCATCAAATGAGGCTTGAACAAAACTCTCGAATCGAACGATTTTTTTAAAGTTAAATATCTGAACATGTATACGAATCGAAAATTGATGATTTTGGTTCGATTCTCGGTTCTAGATCAAGAACCGAAAAACTGCATAAGAATCGAATCTTCATAATTTTGTTTTAATCTTAGATAATCCAAATTATTTTATTTTTTCTAAATAAATTTGCTAACTAATTAATTTAGCCTAAACCCAAAATATATTTTTCCTATTTGTAATTTAAAGCCCAAGTTTAACTTAATTAAATTAATCTAAATTTTACTAAAATCTCTTATTCTATTGCAGTGCCGTTCTAGAGAAATCAAATTGGGAACTTGGCTGCACCTCTCTAAATTATTATGAGCTCACAATTCTCCTCTTCCTGTGATTTAAACAACTACTATGAAGGACTCAACAAAGAGAGGCGTAAAAGATATCACGAGATTGAATTTCATCATTTTATAAAAGCTAAAACTGAACATGTCATTAATTAAATTAATATAGATTTGTTGTAAATATTAAAAAAAAAAATTTATTGTACGAAAATTGAAAAACGAATGAAACCAAACCGAATTGAACCGAACCCAAATGGTTCCATAATTAAATTTGGACTTGACAATTCATTTATTAAATACACTAAAATTCGAATTAGATTCGATTCTCTTTAGAATGTAACAGAATCAGACCATGTACAACCCCACATCAAACTAAATATGAACTAAAGATAATATTGTATATTTATGCATGTCGATAATTTTTTTTTTTTTTCGTCTTATAAGTAGACTTATAAGCCTAAGTAAACAACACATATTCCGCTCCATCAGAATTTTTTTCTCAGTTCATTGTATTTCAAATAGTGTTAAGGCATTGCTGTTATTAGGAGTAAACATAGGTCGAGTTTGGATCACTCGTCAACCGGGGTGAAATCTCTACCTAATAATCGAGCCCAACTCCACGTCCCCTGCACAAACCAAGCTGTGGAGCTTCTAGCTCCATCGACGCACCTACCATTTCTAGTTGACGATCAAGCTCAACTACCCCTCGATCGTGTTGTTGAAGACTAAATTTTCTTGAATAAGAGTGTCTATTATCGAGCCACCTCCTCTAAACACTTAGAACTACTGCTTCGTGTAGTGTTTTTACATACTCACTTTTGGTGTGAATTGCATTCATCTCAGTGATTGTGTTGAAACTCCTGGGGAGCAACAATGCAACTCACTCTTAAGATCAATATCTGGTTCACATAAATAATGACCGGTTCAATGCCATAAAAGGTTTAACTTTTCCTTACAAACACTAACTGGATTTCACATGGAATGATTTAAAACCCAATTCTACAAATAAACAGGTGAAAGAAGAGCTACGAGAAATTCATGTTAAGGTAGAAATTACTGAAGAGAAACAATACTGCTCTCAAGCCTAGAGATCCGAGTCACTCAAATGATGATCGTCGAACATCATAAAATGTGAAGCTTTCCATCACTAGACACCAATTGATACTCAAATGAGATGTTTAAAGCACGGTCCAACAAAAATCATGCATTTTTTTAACAAAATCCATTTTCCTTGAAATCAACGTTCCATGTTAAAATAGACTTCCCAGCTTCACAAGTTCCTCACAATTACTTTTAGACACGTATAATGTCACAAGTATGATTCAAGTATCATCAACTGAGAAGTTCATAGACTTCAATACAAGAATACCTAGTGTGTTTCATATTGGCGCTTGGACCGAATAGCAAGATTAAGGAACACAAACGTGTTAGGTATATTTTGGTTGTCTTGCCCGATCCTATCTAATCGAGTGTACAAATGCCTTTAGATGTTAGTTCTACTAACAAATCTCCTTCATTAAGGGTGTTATTCAGGCAATCAACAAATAATATAAAACAGAGAAGGAATCCTTTATATACTTCTAAGTTCTAAAGCAAATCGAGTCCATAACATCGATATTAAAACAAGATTCCAAAGTAAATGAAACAAATCGAATTTCCAATAAAATGTGCATGCCCACCAAACCTGGCTTACTGACATGAAAAAATCTGCTCCATTTGATTTTAAGCAAAATACCCAAATGCTGTATCATTCTTGTCTCAGCTGCTCATGGACAGCATCGTGATTCAACAAAACAACAAATCCTAGCAATGTCAAAAAGTGACATATCATCAAGAACAAATTAAAAATAATCAAATTAAAGAAGAGAATTTACATAAGGTAGTCCAATTCCTATAGAACATATCAAATGTAAATCACCTTCACCCTAATATTCTTCATCTGATATTGTTACTTTCTGCACTGCACATACTTCTCCATTTAAACTTGCCTACATAAAGAAGATTTTAACTATTAGAAAACACAAAACTTGCAGGAAAAAAAAGGAAGATTAAAAAAACAAACCTCGAGAGAACCAGCTGTAAAACTCGACTTGTATGTGGCCACTTTTATCACCTTCAATAAATTTTGGTCTTTCCACGGCCCCTTGTCTGACTTCAAACAACCTCCCTCATTTGAACACGTACAGTTACCACCGAGAAAACCTGGTAGCTCACTAAAATGACAATGATTTTATTGGACTGTAGAATCACTTCAATTCTGAGCAAGAAAGAGAAGTCCAGTTACCTCTCATCAATAGCTTCAATTAATTTGCTTTGATAATTATTGCCAAGCACCTATAGAGAATTTGAAATCAATGGGCTTCATGCATCGTAGACTAAAAAAAGAATTTATGCAGTTTGATTTACATGAACGAACTTATAGTATACCAGAATCTTGGAAGTTGTATCTGGGTCAAGTAAAGGCTTCACTATAGTCCAGATCAACCGAAAGGCAGGACCAGCATTGATGATATACATTCGGCTGAGTGTCTGTAGAATAGTTTAAAAGGACAATATTTATGGATATTTAGGACATATTTGATACAGAGACAGGTAATTGATAAGCCGTACTTCAGGATAATTGTCATTATCAATCTTTTGAAGCACCTTAATGAATTCTACAACAGGTCCGGTCAAACTCATTAAACCCTGAATAAGAACAACGAAAAGTTGTGTGTGTAAGAATCTTTGAATATGATGTGAGTGATTTATAAAACATAAAGAGTAGAAGAAATTAGTGTACCAATCCTTGGACATCTAAGATTGTTGTGCTTGAATCTATATGCCTATTTGCAGCAACAGAACAAGCAGGAAACCTGACAGCAAGAGTCTTCTCGAATTCCTGGACTTGGTATTTCACAAATCGGTCGAAAGTAGTCACTTGCACCAACTTGTCAACATCCATCTTCCCCAATCTTTCAATGTAAACTGGTCTTCCATCCTTGTCGACGCCATGATATCCCTGTGGATAGTATTCCTGTACGTCTTTTAATTCCGTGAAGTCAAAGTCCTGAAGAATAAAAGCACAGAAACAATTAAGATTCAAATCAAAGTTAAGTGATAAATATAACAAGTCAAGCCTCAAAACTCAAAGGCTGCAGCCAACTCGTGGACAGGTAGAGAGAGACTCGAGATGCTCAACCAAAAACCTTCACACTCCAGAAATTTTTGACAAATTGACAAGCCAACAAACAATACAAAAATGCGTCGAACAAATAAGAGCTAAAAATCAGAGATCACCTCCACAATCGCATCCACACCAAAGTCCTTCCTCCACTGAAGCATGTCAGCCCACATGCGCTTTGCATTTTCAATATTGAACTTCCTTGCTTTCAAAAATCTGCAAATTTTTTATTGCTGAAAATAAAATTAGATTTTTTATTATTTAAAGACAAATAACACAAAATATTGAATGAATAGCATGTTAATTAGAATAACATAAAGCAGAAACTGAAGCCAGATGAGTAGCATCTGGAATTGCTGCATTGTCAAGGGGTAGGAAAAGAAGGATCACTAATCTAAGCAGTGATTTGTCATCTCCTGAAAAGATCAAATAGCCTATCTACTATACAATCAGAAGTATGTCATCAATGCCGAAGCGAATATAAAGAAAGCATTCTTGAAAAAATGCTGAAGAAAAAGTACTGGGGAAGGAAATTTTACATTAATTTCACAAACAATGACACACACACCCCATTTTCAACCCTGCCATAGACAGATGCACCAAAGTAACATGAACAGGAATAAAAATACTACTCACATAAATAAGTGTTTTTATCTAAGATTCCATGTGACCGTATTTCAGAAGTGAAAATCACCTTATGTTTTAATCTAAGATTCCATGTGTCCGTATTTCAGAAATGCTTAGGGTATGCTAAATATAAAGCATGTGCACAGTGAAAAATAACCTTAAAATGGTATAATAATCATCAAATCTTGCAGGAAGCAAATTGTCTGAGATCAATTCTTGTTCACCTTATGTTTCAATCTAAGATTTCATGTGTACGTATTTCAGAAATGCTAAATATAAAGCACGTGCACAGTGAAAAATCACCTTAACATGGTATAATAATCATCAAATCTTGCAGGAAGCAAATTGTCTGAGATCAATTCTTGTCGAAAAGCATCTACAGCCTTCAGCTCCTCAGTTTCACAAACATCCTCATTTTCACAAACTGCAAAATCATTTCTCCTCCTCAGCTTATTTCTTATAGAATTTCTCAGTTTGCTGGATACATTTTTAGCTTTTCTGAAAATACCAAAGTTTGTCCTTTCCTCTGAAACTTCTGTATCTGATTTCTGCTTGTTTCTTTCATCATTACGACAACCTGGTGAAAATCAAAATTATGTCACTGGATGATGATATTATATATTTAACATCATTACTCATTAAGCAACTTGCCTCTTTATTATTTCATGGACCAAACCCATGAAATGAAACAAATTTGCGAGGGAACTTCACTTTATCTAAGACTGGAAGCAGTAACACTAACTAGAAAGTCAATATCTATTTGACAAGATGAAAATTAAATGAAGGCAAACTTAAAAGGGAAAAAGAGCTGAGTTAATGAAATCAAACTAGATATTCTAGCCATAAGCATGTAGGTAACTAGTAAGTAACTCCCGGAAGAATAATAGCTACATGCCTTGTAGGTAAATTTATATATCTGTAAAAACGGTTCATAGATAATTGAAAAGTCGATGTTCACTGTGGGAACATAATAAGAAGTACCCATTTTTGAGTCTGGAACAATTTTGTAACAAATGAATCACTTTATTACTCCACCAATAATAATTCACTTTGATGAGAAAAATGCTACATTTGTGATCCACTCTTTAGTGTTTATTTAATAATTTATCTAATTGTATTAGTGGTGTCGGAGATGAAGAGTTGAAAGAAGAAAATTTCTTTCATGTAAGGGAACAGAATGAAAGGGCTTTCTATCCTATATCGATTGAGGGAAGAAAAAAGATCTCTAGTGTTTCTTATAAAAAGACGTCTACATTTGCTGGAAAAGATAATAGAAATAGGGGATATAGAAATGGAATGGGTTATTTACACCAAACTGCAATCGAAGGTTTGGCCTCAAGGGGTACCCATGTTTTGTGTGGGTGGACGACCTACCTAATTGCAGGGTTTAACATAATTGAGGGATTGGTGTAAATAAACCCACCCGTCCAATTTTTTGTTCGCAACAAATGTGGAAAAAGATATTAATTAAAGTTTCCCTTCTTTCTTTTGGTTTTTTTCTAAAGACTAACGAAGACACGTGTGATAAGAGCCACTAGCAAGTTCTTTCTTCTCCCAATCAATGGGGGATAGAAAGCCCTTTCATTCCTTTTCTCGACATTTAAAGGCAATTTCCTTCATTCAACTCTTAATCTCCAAGAAATTCAATATTATTGGAAAATTAAAATAGGTATTGTCGTGATCATGTTTCAATTACCTCATCTGAAAACCAATTAGTGTCTGGTAAGGGAAACAAGCTAAACCTTTTATGGCATACGATCACCATCATTTGGGTGATCCTACCCATTAACTTAAGAGTGGCTTGTTGCACCCCAACAATCCCTTCCTCATTATCGTTCTTGTGACTCAAATTCATGAGCTCTGATATCAGATTTCAACAAACATATTGTAAACAAATTGATTTTTAGATAGATGTCGAAATCTGATCCTAACAGGTATTACTAACTCAAAAATCAAACTCAAGTCATGATTTCTTAAGTGTAATGAAATTCGAAACATTGATGAATTACATATATAAACATGAATAAGCTTGCTTTTACCGCAGCAATATTAGCAAGAAAACTAGTTATGTGTATATTACATCTAGAAAGGAATTTACCAAGAAAATATTCTTCCCAATCATGGATATTCCATAAACATATCTAATTATGACATGTCTCTTAAGGAGTATTGGAAAGTACTCGACATAATGGAAGAAGGAAAACATGTTAAACAATCTTGTTCATTACTATCTAATATTGCATTTTAAATATGCACTTAAATACTAGGAAATGATAATGCTCAATTGATCTCCCCACACAATATCTCCAAATTACGAAAACACCTGTCATAAAAACAAAAGGCAACCAATTTCATTGCACAACATAGAATTTACTAAAAATGAGGCACGAAAATGAAACCACGAAATCAAATTTGATATCAAAGATGAAACTAATTTTATCCCAGCTTAAAAAGTTCACATTTAAGTAGATTTATATTACACTTATAAATTACGTGTCATTGACTATTTATTGGATTGGATTTATTAAACTAAATAATTTGCATCTTGGGCTCGGCTCATTACCCATGTGGCTCATTTACAATTTCCTATATATATGTGAGTTTCATTCACAATAAGTTATAATTTCTAATCCTATCCAAAGTCCCCCTCCCTCTCTTACATTCTCTTTTTCTCTCGTTCGACAATTGACTTGACCGTCGGAGTGCAAACGGTCGTCGAACCTTTTTCTATACCGACAGCCTTTGTCTCTTAACGGGTGTTCCAAGGTGATGTCTACGTGGAGGCGAGGTAGAAGGGATTTTGTTGGCGCATTTTTTTAGATCAACAATTCATAGGTAAAAATGTGAGTATTAAAAAGCAAAATCATTTTATTGGCAAAAGCAAGATTATTTATTTTGGCATAAAATCTGGATAACTTTGAGAAAGTAACATTTTTCTCTTAAAAAGGAAAAAGAAAAAGTAACTTTCAACATCTTTAAATCTGAAAAAGTTTAAATTTAAGGCTAGGCAAACATGCCCCTCCTCCTCCGGTTACTGCAACTCAAAAAATCACAGCATTCAAAACTAAAAGATTGAAAACTCAAATTCAAAACCTGAAATCTACAATAAACACTTCCAATAAACAATTAATCCACTTCAATTACATCGCTAAAAAAGGAAAATAAAAAAAATATTAAAAATAGATACTTACAAGGGCTTGCAATTCGATCTAAAGTTTTTGACATTGCACTGCATAGAAAACAAATTCCACTCGCACCAACTGTATGTATAGGAGCAAAAATTCAAAAACGCTGATAACATAAATTTGCGAGATTTTCTGAAGGCAGTTATGAAGCTGGTGGCGTTGGGTCCCATATGCAAGATAGCGACGTGGCAGCAGGGTGTGATTCTTAGTGTACAATTTGGCGGGAACATGCCACGAATACGGAATCCCTAGATTTGTTTCTTCTACGGTATGCAGTTTCCTGCATAATTAAAAGTGTAGCGCTATTTCACACCCGATGACACTTGACAGCACTAGCATTACTGATATTAAGATTTCATTTTTTTTGAGTTACACGTTTTTCGATAAAATAATATTACATACAATTAAATAGTTTTTCTTCATTTTTAATCACACATTATGCATCAATATAATATTTTAAAATACATTCTGCACAAAAAATAGGCTCAAACAGACCTTAAATTAGAGATTCAATTAAATGAATCACAACATTTCACCTTTAATCGAAATTATCATGTAATCTTATATAGGCTGGTGCTAGATATCATCATTCTAATTAAAATTATTGTTACGCCCGATGTACTGAGGCTTTAGGTGAAACCTACGTGGCATCTTTGGAGGCACCCTACAAGAGGCTCCTCTTCGATGTACTGAAACTCATCCTTTCTAAGCCCTTTAGCCAAAGTACCAAAGCCAAATTTGAGCCTCTACCATGGCAAGGGGCAACCGACCTTCTTTGAAGATATCACAGTGATAAAATCCCATTTGAATTATTGATGCGATCATATGTCATGTCAATCTTGTCAACATAGATTGTAGGGTGATTGCCTCCTTCTAAGAGCATTAAAATGCGTCACAGGTTAGTAGAGTCAAATTGATGCTTAGAATAGAACGCTTCGATTCAGAAGATAAATCACAGGACTCTTCATTCAATGGATATCATTTCACATGTAATACTATAAATACCCACTCCTTATACTATTAAAGGGGAAATGCAAATATATCTATTTAAAGTTACAAACCCTCTCCTCTTGAGTTGAATATTTGATTGGTAGAGTTATATATGTCATCAATGCTCGAACATTTTTGTCTCACATTGTAATGCTTCTTCTCTGTCCAAACCCAAAACATCGTTGACCAGTAGTTCGTCCGAACGTGTTGAAATTAGCTCGCGTAGATGTGAATGTGCTCACTATCTGTTGTCCACGTCAACGATACAAAAAACGAGGTCAACAATTATAATCTAGAATAATGAAGATTTTTGATAATATAATTGAAAAGTAATACAATTTTCTTATACATACAAAATCATACTAATTACTATACTATAATTCTATTGTGAAAACGTGGATAAAATTATTAGTAACTTTTAGGATAAATAATATTGAATTTCTTAAATTAAATTATGTGATTAATAAATAACGTGGGTTGAATGAAAAAAAAAGTAACTTTTAATTTTCACATGAATAGAGTAAATACAACTTAATATTATTATTCTTATTATTATTATTTTTTTTTCACAAATGTATGTTGGATTATGGTTCAACTTTATTTAACCAACTTAGTTGAGACTTCAATTTTCAAACGTAATGATGCAACATGTAAGTTGTTACAACATGATGTGATTTGGAAATATACTTAGAATAGCTTATGAATTATGCTTTTATTAAATAGATTATGCAAGAAGCAAATGTTGCGACACGATTTCAATTTTTGGGACGTTAAGAATTGTGAATGAAAATTGTTACTATATGCTTAGGGACTTTTTTTTCTTTAGCTTATTTAAGTTAAAGGTTAAGTTTTTAGATTTTTCAAAAGTTGGGGACAAACATGAAATTAAAAAAAAGTTAGATATATGTATGTTGGTGTGGTTGGAGACGAATAATGCGATTTCTCTATTTGAAAATCAATATTTACTTGAAAGTAAAGTCTCAAGCTTCCCAAAGCAAGCTCCAGAAGGTAAAATATATATTTCTAATTAACTTTAATGTACTTACCAGATTATAATTCTTAATTTTTATTTCATTTTTTTCAAAATCATCTTTCACGTTACATCGATACAATTATAATCTTTCCATTTTTCTCAAAAACACGAGTCTAATTGCGGAAAATAAAAATGAGCTACTCAAATGCGACCATCGACTATCTTAACCCATCGACCAATTTTCTTGGTCGAGGGTGCAATTTCTTACCCATGACAAACTAGTTTGAATGCATTTTATCATGTTCGACTTTTCAAATCATCCACCCTAAACAATACATTGAAACAAAGCTAATGTAGAGTTAAACAAATACTATGATCAAATTGAGAAGCAAATACACACGAAGGCATTACGCCACAATACATTTTATTTACACATCGACGAGCACTATACATAAATATGAATAATTACTATACTATAATTCTATTGTAAAAACGTGGATAAAATTATTAGTAACTTTTAGGATAAATAATATTGATTTTCTTAAATTAAATTATGTGATTAATAAATAACGTGGGTTGAATGAAAAAAAAAAAAAAAGAAGTAACTTTTAATTTTCACATGAATAGAGTAAATACAACTTAATATTATTCTTATTTTTTTTTTCACAAATGTATGTTGGATTATGGTTCAACTTTATTTAACCAACTTAGTTGAGACTTCAATTTTCAAACGTAATTATGCAACATGTAAGTTGTTACAACATGATGTGATTTCGAAATATACTTAGAATAGCTTATGAATTATGCTTTTATTAATTTATAAAATTAATAGATTATGCAAGAAGCAAATGTTGCGACGCGATTTCAATTTTTGGGACGTTAAGAATTGTGAATGAAAATTGTTACTATATGCTTAGGGACTTATTTTTCTTTAGCTTATTGAAGTTGAAGGTTAAGTTTTTAGATTTTTCAAAAGTTTGGGGACAAACATGAAATTAAAAAAAAAAAGTTAGATATAAGTGTGTTGGTGTGGTTGGAGACGAATAATGCGATTTCTCTATTTGAAAATCAATATTTACTTGAAAGTAAAGTTTCAAGCTTCCCAAAGCAAGCTCCAGAGGGTAAAATATAAATTTCTAATTAACTTTAGAACTTGTTTGGAAATGATTAAAATCAGATTAAAATTGAAAAACTAGTCGTTATTGTTGACTTTTATTAGACGGGTGGGATCCAATAACAGCTATATTTTTAATTTTAATTGGATTAAAATCATTCACAAACAAACCCTTTGTTTGGAAATGATTAAAATCAGATTAAAATTGAAAATATAGTCGTTATTGTTGACTTTTATTAGACGAGTGGGACCCAATAACGGCCATATTTTCAATTTTAATTGGATTTTAATCCCTCCTGAACGGGGTCTTAATGTACTTACTAGATTATAATTCTTAATTTTTATTTCATTTCATTTTTTTCAAAATCATCTTTCACGTTACATCGTTACAATTATAATCTTTCCATTTTTCTCAAAAACACGAGTCTAATTGCGGAAAATAAAAATGAGCTACTCAAATGCGACTATCGACTATCTTAACCCATCGATCAATTTTCTTGGTCGAGGGTGCAATTTCTTACCCATGTCAAACTAGTTTGAATGCATTTTATCATGTTCGGCTTTTCAAATCATCATCCTAAACAATACATTGAAACAAAGCTAATGTAGAGTTAAACAAATACTATGATCAAATTGAGAAGCAAATACACACGAAGGCATTACGCCACAATACATTTTATTTACACATCGACGAGCACTATACATAAATATGAACGACAGACACTATTATTTACGGTAAAAGCCAGAGAAATGATTTCTAGCCATGTCAGGTACAATGTACCGCAGAAGACAACCACAAGATTTTAACATTTTTTCTTCATTAATCTTGAATGGGGTTGTCAAGTTTCACGTACCAAACATGTCGTCCATATACAAGTTATCCTCCTGTGGTACCTGAAACCCAAACAAAAGAAGTATATCACTATTCTCATAGGATCTAAACTAGAGAAACTGTGGTCGGGGTATCTGATAGGACTGAATACTATTATGCTATTGCGCCGGATTAGGCCGTATAAAGAATTTAGCATAAAGTCGTAATCGGTACTAATTGGTAGAAGTATTGATGTGGATTAAGGTGGATAAATTTTTAAAATTTTTCATTCAGAAGATGGTCCACCATATAACAAAACACCGATGATGGATGTGGGTTTAAGCCTGATAGAAAACATATAGCAAATAACCCTCTTTTATATGAAAAATCAAATGATATTATCCACGCCTTATTCTATCTTAATACCGCTCTACCTAGTAATATAATATCCACTATAATTTTATATTAAATTCTTTATATGGTCTAATACGGCACACCAAATATGACTTACGGAAGAAGGTGAAACTAAAATCTTATTCATTATACTGTTGTCCAGTCGTATTCAGTATTACGTACCAAAGAGAGATGACATTATGATGACTATGTCGAGTTCCTCTTTGAGCGGAGTTGAGTGAGCCTGTCCCTCCACAGAGCTGCAGTACAACACCAAATGTTAAATTCAAAATCATTGAGAAGCTTTCTAAATTCTTGTGCAAAGCATGGCTAAGCTAAAATTATACTTAAGTTGATCAAACGTACGTTTTATCCAAAAATTTCATAGGATCCACAGCTTACTATCCACTTATTATTCAACCCATATCCTATAGCATTTAAAAGCACTACCAAACAAGCACGTAAGCTTCAGATAAGCTCTTAGGACAACTAATATATGGAAAATCGTGTTTAGGCATCTATGATAAAAACTTGCAACAAATTTCTCACTGACGAGCTAATAACATGGAATCTTGAATTCCATGCCCTCGTATATGTTCCAAGCTCTTGAAATGATCTTGTTCTGGGACTGAACTCGGAAACTTCTTAGGAGTGGAGTTTGGCTTGCCCCTCTCTTACGCTGCCCCATTCTATAACCCACACTTACATATGCTTAGCTACTATGACATGGTACTCAAGCTAATTAATTTTTTCTGTGTTACCTTGTAACCATTTTTAAGTGTAATAGCAGGTATGATGTCTTCAAATACAAATATATTTGTAACGTTTCTCAACTGCAGCTATTAGCATGTTGCGCACAAGATTAAACTCCTTGGTTTCAATGGACAGTAGGCCACTAGGTCTGTATCAATAACACAGTAGTTTGACCTTACCTATATTATCCAAGGCACAGGGTATAAACTAGATAAAGATGTCAGATCCGTTAGATACGAGCATCCCGGTTTAAATATATAAATATATGTGGACTCTAATAATCATTTTTGCTATTAAGCTAGCGGAAATGTTGTTTGTATAAATTCTGCAGACAATTCTTGTAATCTACTTCAACATTACTGTGAAAAATCTTGTGTAGCAAAGTGGACGTATCTTTCACAGGTGAGGTCAACCTCAACCACTGTAAATCTCTGTCACATTGCGTTTTTCCATTTCTTGTTTCTTTACTATTGCTCTCAAAATCAGGGATTAGGTCATTAATCCATAACATAAACAAAACTTACGTATTAATGATTTTCCAAATGTTTTCCCCCTTTAGGTGTTGATTAGCAATGAAAAATCCATTGATGCACTCTCTCAAACGACAA